GCTAGTGAAAAGGCACTTTGTGAAGCCTCGTTTGTATGGAATTGGACAATGACTGTGAATTATGAGATATTGTGCAGTCCATGAAAACTACTATAAACTGATCGTTCAATTGAAACATCCAATAATAATTTAGTGATTAGATTTAAGAAGAAGAGTGTGTCGTTCATCTCATATTTGTTTGTTAGAATGATGTGATCATGAATAGTGTGAATTTGATCATGTGAACAATTGCCGTCCTTCACCCTGTTCAAAATGTTCAGGTTATTTGGATTGTATTTTGACATTACTTTAAACTAATGAGTAGTCGTATTATATTTAACGAAATAAGCTCATGAAGCAAATAATAGTGATTTTTAAATTCGTGGAAATCGTATCATATCACTTATATATGTCCTATTATTATGATATATGCTGTGGTTCTTAATAATACCATTAATATAAGAATTTTTTTATATTGTTTACAGACGCCTGTCAACTCATATTTATGAAATGCAAATTGTGTTTTGAGAGATATTTAGATTTTTCGTTATTTATCTAATTCAAATTAATGTATTATATCTTTTTGTTCAAAGATACCAATTAGATTATTAATTAACTTATTCATCTTAGGAATCCCTCTTAACGTGCAATATTTAGAAGTGGTTATACGTGTAGAAATCTTGGTCCTACATTGTTTAGTTGTCATATGAATGAGTAAGTTGCTAACGGGAATAATATGTTCAGAACACTTTTTAATGGGAATGTTATCCAAATTTATTTGTCTTTAATAAGTCAAAGAACTGTTGTGAACCAAGAAACGTTGAACAGTCATTTTGTTTTGTTTATGAGACTTCTCAGAAGTAAAATATGGTATGATCACATGATATCTTAGTTATCGACACAGATCACACTATATATATATATTCTTTGTATAGTTATCGTATAGTCAAAGATACATTATTAAAACATTAAAATTTGAAAGAAAAGTTGAAAACCCATGTATAAGAGAGTTTACATTACTATTTGTTCGGAGTGAAAAGATGAAGAAACTAGTCAGTATAATAGGTCTGAAAAGAGTGTGAAAAACATGAAACCCGACAATATTTCGATATCGTCTTAAACGAAAGCCACTATTAATGATCAAGCGCAGCACATCTAAAGTCAAACAAATAGTTTTGTGAGAATTCTATTTGGAAACAGAGATATAAATGCAGATACAGTTTGTGGCTAATCGTCGTACATCGTTAACATGTAGAATTAGGATGTAGTAAAGTAGTCTATTCTCATCTTATCGAAGTGACCTGATATTGTTGTGAATATTAAATACCCATCTAAGTATTCTACGCATGCCACTTACAGTTTCGTAAGATTTCTTAACTAAAGCACTCTCACAAATCACTGGCTTACTCCACTTTGTTATTAATGAAACCAGAGAAACAATTCAATATATTAAGCATTAGGTAGTTTGTGATTTATAAGATTGACGATTTTTTAAAATATCGGTGAGCGACAAAGCACGCTGAGAATGTTTTTATTACTGTATACAAGTTGGTTTCACTCAAAATAAGACCAATAAATCATTTCCATTACATTTGAAACATTGTCCTCATGAACTTTAAATTTACTCTTTCATGACTACTTCTCAGTAATGACCAATAATAACTTATAACCCATTTATCCATGAATATATTTACCTATGACGGCAACCCCGTGATCATTGCCATCACTACTCAGATTGGACGAAATACTTTCCAACTTTGCCAAGCCCCACACTCTGTTACATATAAAATGATAAAATATACATCATTTTCTGTATGAGGTTGTAGAGTTTGCTGAATTTCACTTAAATCATGAACAAACCATGAAAACATGGGAACACTGAGCGGCCGCTTCGTCCCAATGTGAGTCTTAGAAGTGTGCGCCCACTATCCCGCACGCGAGACTCGAGCACAGGACCTTCGGCCTCATCCGAACACTTAACCTTCAGATCAGTGAGTCGGCATCCGACGTCTTTAATGTTCAACCTCAACTAGTCCGCCAAATTTCTGTAACCAGAAGAGTTCAACTGTGTCGAGAGTGAGGCGGTTACCCATCGAGGACAATGGAAGATTGTCACTCATTGCTGTTGATTGATTGACCTTAGGCACTGACACCGTTTAATGCCGGCTCAGTGGTCTTGGGGTTAAGCACTCACTCGAGATTGGTAACTGACAAACTATCTTTCATACAATGTGTGCTGCTGTTTGGCCATTTAACTAAATATTAGGCATTCAGAGAGGAAAATATTCTTTTCCATAGTGTTTGTTTAAAAAAGCTGTGCAGTCATAGTGATAATCGTATGCCACATTAGTCTTTGACGGAACGGAATGATTGTTGCATTGTTGTACACATTCTAGCACTAGACATTGAGTAATTGATTACGGATTGATGGGAAACAGGAACATGGAATGAGATAACTGATCTTAACTGCGAAGAAATTTTCGTTCACTCGGATTTACGGATAATGACGGAAGACAAAACATATTTTATTAATTACAGCTAGTAATACTAAGATTGTAGGGCTTTTTAGGGCTATGTTATTATATCGAATTGAAAAAGTTCCCTTAACAAAAGAGACAAAACATAGATTGACGAGTCACTAGGGCAATTTTCAATACACACAAATTTGTGATCGTCACTTTCTTTAAACGTATTCGTCTCAAAGTGTAAGGAATTTGTAGGTTATAACTCGTGATGAGATGTGATCGAATTAGGTGAAGTGTGCAAAATGCTAACAGTAGAATGCAATGTAGGTCTTTCGAAATATGTGGGGTTCGAGCAGTTGGACGTACGTACATCACATTGTTAACATTCATTCCGTTGTTTGAACACAATACCTTTCTCTCTAAATTTTATGGTCAGTACACCATTTAAATAAATTCAACAATTATTGGTGTTAAATTAAGTTAATCCTTTTTGATGTTGGTTTGTTCTCTGAGCTGAATGGTTTGGTCGTGGTCCTTCATTAAAAAGAATTGATATGTTAGGACAAACTAGTCAGCTGAAGTCTGAAAAATCAATGCAAATGATGCATTTCAAAACACAAACTTAACCAGATTTCTTCCTCTATAATGCAATTCACCTACCAATAATCCAACCAGTGTCTTTACTACACTCGTATGTAAACTCTTAACAAAATGAGGAGAAATTAATGATATTAGAGACCAAGTCAGTCCTAACATTTACTGCTTTTGTGTAGCAAACATAAGGTGTATCGAATTCATCCTATGTCAACACTGACAATGTTTCCAGATGTATTTGAGTTGTTAGTACCCGACTGATCAAACAGTAACTATCAGTATTCCCGTAGTGTGGAAACACCCAACAATCGATTCTATGTACTGAGAAATGTGGGAATGGCTTACAACACAGTGAATAGGAATTTTTCATGTTCAATGAACAAAACGAAGAAAACTCCTTGTCAATTCAGATTGATAACTTATTATCAGTGTCACATTACTGACCAGTCACACTTCCCGTTCACTGTGTAAATTCAGTTTGAAAGTTTTGGGACAAGTAGGAAAAATTCAACATCTAGTCCTTATCACTTTCAACGCGAATGAAAACCACATACTGAGTGCTCGAGAATATTTGGGAACAAATAGAACAGTTTGCTTAGACACATCACTCTGGATTAAGGCCACAAGTGTCTGACTGTCCAATTGCTTCAGCAGACACAAGTAATTAGTCAGTCCGTAGATAGCATTCATTGATAAAAGTTATACAAGATGTTCAGAACTAAGTTTAAATGTTTGTTACTCGAATATCACGCAATAAACTGGAATATTGAAATTGAAGTTGTCTGCGAAATATACCAGGATTGAATGATAGATGGGTGCATACTACAGAAGTTTGGATGACTATGCACTATTCGTTTAATTTACCAGACTATCATTACTTCTAATAACCAAACGGAATCATGGTTAAATATGAAAACTGAAGTGTAAGATTTGTAGAACATCATCATGGAGCAATGATATATTTATTCATAGATAACCAGAAATAACACATCGATTATTCCTTCATCATACATCCTAAAGCAGTCCAGCGATCAGGTCCAGTATGATTCCACTCTGTTCAGGTTTCGGCTTCTCAACTTTGACCGCTCCATCTGGTAGCTTTGTTGACAATATCTTCTTATCCCTTCCTAATGATCTTCCTGAATAAAAACAAAGATAATAATTTACGAAATGAGACAATATTTTGATGAGCACAATTCATGAAACCAAAATACTGGTTACATGAGTGAAAACGATGCGATCAAAATATAATAATGAAATATCCGACAAATTGAGTTGTGTGAATGATACCTAGTTTGGAATGCTTCCTAGTGGGTTTGGCAATCTTCTCTGACGCTTCACCTTGTATTGCACTGGCCTTATCTAGAAGGAACGAATTAGTATTAATTCAAACATCATGATTCACCCTCTGTATCAGCTTCGATCATTTTTACTATCGTGTATAAACACATGCAAATGAAGAGTACCTATATTTTGCAAATAGTGTTATGGATTCAACCAATTCTCACCTTGATTGAGTTCATTGTTGGTGTACAATTATGACGACTGTTCAACGTCATGTGTGTGTATTTATATACATGGATGAAGTGAATCGAGAACATGAATGAATGGATTGGAGTAGATTTGTACGTCTTCATTGATTTGTTGACAATAATTTCACCTGTCATAATGTTATAGTCATGAGTTTCAATCCATTTCTCTTGTGGTCGAAATGTAGTTTTCGTGGTATGTGTCAAAGTGGAGAAGTTGTTTGATTGGAAATATCAGATAAGAATTGACGTTGTTATTCTGTATTGTGTTTCATCTATAAACGTGTCATTGATATTGATTAACGAAAAACATCATTCAATTTATGTTTGTTAATGGAAGTGAGTTTTCATATGGTGACTATGAGTCAACCTTGCAAAGTTACTGAATTGTTAGTCACATGAAGAGAATGTGATCCATCTGAGATAAGATGAGCCGCACATCGATATCTTAAATAAGTCAGTTAACTGAAGTGTGGGAAATCAATGCAAATGATGCATTTCCTTGCACAAAATTAAACAGATTTCTACATCCATAATCCAATTGTCCAATTACCAGTAATCCAACTAGTGTTATCTGTATCTGAAATTTCCAATCAAACAACTTCTCCACTTTGACACATAACACGAAAACTACATTTCCTCATTTCGACCACAAGAGAAATGGATTGAAACTCATGACTATAACATTATGACAGGTGAAATTATTGTCAACAAATCAATGAAGACGTACAAATCTACTCCAATCCATTCATTCATGTTCTCGATTCACTTCATCCATGTATATAAATACACACACATGACGTTGAACAGTCGTCATAATTGTACACCAACAATGAACTCAATCAAGGTGAGAATTGGTTGAATCCATAACACTATTTGCAAAATATAGGTACTCTTCATTTGCATGTGTTTATACACGATAGTAAAAGTGATCGAAGCTGATACAGAGGGTGAATCATGATGTTTGAATTAATACTAATTCGTTCCTTCTAGATAAGGCCAGTGCAATACAAGGTGAAGCGTCAGAGAAGATTGCCAAACCCACTAGGAAGCATTCCAAACTAGGTATCATTCACACAACTCAATTTGTCGGATATTTCATTATTATATTTTGATCGCATCGTTTTCACTCATGTAACCAGTATTTTGGTTTCATGAATTGTGCTCATCAAAATATTGTCTCATTTCGTAAATTATTATCTTTGTTTTTATTCAGGAAGATCATTAGGAAGGGATAAGAAGATATTGTCAACAAAGCTACCAGATGGAGCGGTCAAAGTTGAGAAGCCGAAACCTGAACAGAGTGGAATCATACTGGACCTGATCGCTGGACTGCTTTAGGATGCATGATGAAGGAATAATCGATGTGTTATTTCTGGTTATCTATGAATAAATATATCATTGCTCCATGATGATGTTCTACAAATCTTACACTTCAGTTTTCATATTTAACCATGATTCCGTTTGGTTATTAGAAGTAATGATAGTCTGGTAAATTAAACGAATAGTGCATAGTCATCCAAACTTCTGTAGTATGCACCCATCTATCATTCAATCCTGGTATATTTCGCAGACAACTTCAATTTCAATATTCCAGTTTATTGCGTGATATTCGAGTAACAAACATTTAAACTTAGTTCTGAACATCTTGTATAACTTTTATCAAAGAATGCTATCTACGGACTGACTAATTACTTGTGTCTGCTGAAGCAATTGGATAGTCAGACACTTTTTTTGTTTTTCTACTACTCATTTTTTCAAAGTAATGTCAAAATACAATCCAAATAACCAGAACATTTTGATCAGAGTGGAGGACGGCAATTGTTCACATGATCAAATTCACACTCTTCATGATCACATCATTCTAACAAACAAATATGAGATGAACGATACACTCTTCTTCTTAAATTTAATCACTAAATTATTATTGGATGGTTCAATTGAACGATCAGTTTATAGTAGGTTTCACGGACTGTACACTATCTCACATTTCACAGTCATCGTCCACTTCCACACAAAAGGAAAAAACCCATTACACTCCTAACACCTTCAACGCTTATCCATAAAACCACACCATTCTGAGGTGTGCGTGTGTGTCCTTCTTCTGAAACACAGTTCTACGTTAGCTTTTGGCAAATCGTACTATATAGCTGAATGTCATGAAATCGATTGAGTGATTTCCAACCATGTTTACCGATTTCCATGTCTGTTTCGAAATACACACACAGAGAGGAATAATCGTGACCTACTGGTTAAGGTGGTTAAACATGCGACGAAATGGCTGAGGAACTGGTGAAAATGAATAAGTGATTAGGAAAAGACATGACGAATACTGATAATTCAATGTGTAATAGAACATAAGATTGATGCCAACCTATCCTTTGTGGTTTTCCTAATTATGATATTTAGAAAGAAACTTTAGACGAGGGAACTCTCATGCATCCTTTGTCTTCTCGAAAACAACTTTTACGTATATCATAGCTTTTGTGGTAAGTATCAGTTGGACAAACTGAGAATGTTCGATTTCGTAGTGATAATAACTTATAAATGTTAGGCGGTCAATGAAGAAGTGGATGCCCTAAGAGCACTTCGTCACAATATAGGAAACCTCAATAGTGCGTGTCCATTACCCTACAACCAAAGTAAGTAAGTGTTTATGTATTGTATTGGTGAACTTGAAAATCTAACATACCATCCTCCTGTTATATTCTGTTTCTATGATAATAATTCTGTACATTAGAAATTATCGCTTCACTGATTATGTTTATCATGCATTACATAGTAAGGAAAACTGTGTGTGAAACGTGAAACGCTACTAGCTGTCCATTGTATCCAGTGTTTCACTCAAGATGTTGACGTCTTCATTATCCAGTCGACCACCGTGAGAATATGAAAGGGTCAGTGTATGCAACCTTGCCTAACAACAACAAATATTTAATTTGCTAAATATCAATCAGACGTCTCAAACTTGACCGTTTCTTTTGCAAATATTAGTCATTAATATCAGACTTCATTGTTTTTTCGTTTCCATACTAATCATTCTTTGTTTTTGTTGTTTCCTTTTCTTTCATCTTCTTAACAATCTGCTTCTAAACATTTCACTTCCGACTGATGAATCATACTACTACTTATATCTATCGCCATCAGTAACACATATCACAAACCCCCCCCCCCAAAAAAAGAAATTCATATTATTTCACTGCTCAACTATTATTATATTGGTTTCATTCAATTTCACTAAAGTTTGTTAATTTCGCATTAAAGAATCTTATTGTAGTACATTTAATGATTTTTTTTTATTACATATTTACATTGATTATAATGATAATTTTATTTTTGTATTATCAATAAAACATTTTATTACTACTACTCAAATAAAAAGAAAAAGAGCATACTTCAGTCAATAATTTCAACCCGTTTAATTATAAACTAAATTTTCTGTTCAACTTTGTGGATTAATCAATGTTATACATTAATACCGCTGGTTACCAGCTCAGTGGTCTAGTGGTTAAGCGCTCACGTGCGAGACTGATAGATTCTGGGTTCGAATCTCGCGAAGCGGGATCGTGGCTGCGCGCTGCTGAGTCCCGTAATAGAACGAAACAGCCGTCCAGTGCCTTCAGGTTTTCCATGGTGGTCTAGCTTCAATTGACTCATGATTTCAAATATATATTTAAATATATATATATAAATCTTTTTTGTTCAAAATGTCCCTTTCATCTAATTATTTTAAAAAAAATTTCTAAAAAAAAAACAACAAAAATACAAGTGAAACGTATTTCGTAAACAAAGATTGATAGTGGCTAGCAGTGGAATCCAGGACGCGCTTTTCGTCGTATTTGGGACTTGTCAGTTGGATGTACTGTATACAACAAACACCATAGTCAAAAGTGCATAGTTATAATTAATTTTACAAAAAGAATATAATTAGTTATGTACATTAAGTGCACTACTAATAGTAGGTGACTATATACATATATATATCCCTAAGTGCATTTGTTTCCTACAAAAATGTTATATTATCACTTTATCCATTAGTTATAATAAAATGAATTGGTTTCATGGATATATTTTAATTATTTTATTCTATTCATCAATAACTTACTGTAAAAAAACTACTAACTCTTATGATTATGATGATGAAGAAGAAGATAATAAACGATTCAATTACTTAGATTATTCATTACAAGAAGACATGGTAAAAGGTGATGATTATTATGGTTCATATAATAATGAAGGACAACAACAAGGTAATAGTGAACAAGGATCTGATGATACAAATACAAATCACAATGCGAAAAATGAGAATGAAGGGGATGAGAAAGAAAATAATGCAGATAATTATAATTCTAAAGAATCTGATCAATATTATGACACTAATAATTACGTTCCAGCTAAGCCTTATCAAAATGACTATGGTTCAAATTATAACGATAATAATAATGATAATAATAACGGTGATGATAATGGTGAAGATAATAGTGATGATAATAGTAATTACGGTTATGATAGAAGAAAATCAACGAAAAGCCCATCGAAAAAAAAATCAAGTCATAAAAACGAGAAGAATTACTATTCTACTGAATCAGATGATAATGGTAATAATGATGATTATTATAAACCAAACCGTGATAAATATTATTCATATAATGATAATAAAAATGATGATGAAGAAGTGAATACAAATGACAACTATGGATATAGAAGAAAAACGAAAGGAAAAACACGAAAAAATAAACATCATAAAGAACCAGATGAAACAGACGAGAGTGATGCTAATAATGATGATTCACACAAAAAGTATTCAGCAAGTTATACACGAGACAAACATCCATCAAAGAAAAAACACTCATATAATAAATATTACAGACCCAAGAACAATGTTGAGGGTGATGATGATGATAAAAATAAAGAACACAATGATAATCATAGGAAAAAATCTAAAAAAGTATCCAAGCGAAAGAGAAAATACACAAAGAATAATGACGAAAATGGTAGTGAGGATAATGATAATGAGGAGAATGAATATCGTAGGAAATATAAGCCAGTTAATAGGCGAAAAAAAAAGAATTCAAAGAGAACTACTCATAAGCGTAAAAACGACGAATCAGATGCCGACGACGATGTCTCACAGAGGAGATATTCTAAAAAGTATTCTAATAAATATAAATATGATAGTGACAGTGAAAAAGATGATGGTAATGATGATACTAGTTAGTAAACAGGTGACGACAGACAGTAATTAATTAGATATCATAATGACAAATTTAATATTTAAAAAATGATTTTTTTTTATCAAAACAATAAGCAATTATTTCCTTTTTTTTTGATAAGATGAAGTGAGAAGAGCAGTGTAATAAAAAACCTTTTACTCAAGGACATAAAACTATAATATTTAGTTTAATGTACTCTAAGCAATTTAATAAAATCATTATACAACAATAAACATCAACTGTTGTACACTTTTTTAATTTTACCCAGTAGTAACTACTCACATGTTCTATTACAGTAAGAGTTAATAGAAATTAAAAGAAATCAAATATTGCCTTGTCTTAATTTGGTACTGCTTAACAATAAACATTGAAGCTAAGTAAACATCAGTTAATATCGATAGCAAGTATTCCACTCATCATTTTCTAGGTCATTATATATGTGTATACGTGATTTGTATTCGAGCTTTAATTGTTCCTACGTGAATAGGTATATGGGTATCAAGTTGTATTTGATTTGAAATACGAATTTCAAAGGTTACTTATTGACTGTTTCTATGAGTTATTCAGCTACAGATATGTAATAGCTTCGATTAAATTAAGATTTGCGAAATTGTTTTGCGGTATTATGATTGCAATAACTTTTATATATAGTTGAAATCATAAGTCAATTGAAGCTAGACCACCATGGAAAACCTGGAAGCACTGGACGGCTATTGGATTTAGCATAAATAAGAATTTTACCGGTTAAATTTGAATAGACTGTTTGGTAAGCAAATACTTTCTGACCAAACAATAGTACAACAGATTTGGAAGTGATTTGAAATGCCTGACATCTGTTTGGAAATAAATAAAAAAAATATTTCTGTGAACACAAAGATCTTCATAGGTTTTCTGTACTTATGATCATATAGTGTCTATTTGCTTTGTTTCTGAAAATTTATCTGAACTTGAACACGACCATTTTTAGCATTCTATTTAAAATGTTTTCTGAATTCACCTAATTCACAGCCATCATAAATATATCTGCTATTGGGTTCACTTTATATCTTAGAACCATCAGGACAAAATTCTATCCATCAACAGAGGTAGGAAGCTTAAAAACTACTAGTACGTTACAAATATTTACAGTTAAATTACTTAGTTTAGTGATACATTTTTTGAAAATTGTTAAATGATGACTTAGATATTACATCAGAGTAGATTACGTAAAATTAGTATTGTTTGGAGTGAATAGGGTAAAATTGTCACTTGTCATTATGCTTCTTGTTAGATATAAACTTGGTATCAGACATTATATTTTGAGATGGTGGAGAAGATTTGTAGCTCAGGTGGGTGCTTTTGATGGAGTTTTGTTCTCTAACCTGGATGATTTGGTCGCAGAGCTTTCATCATCCTTCTGAACGACATCATCAGTATAAACTTCGGGTAGAAGTGAAGTGCTTGTCTTTCTCCACATGTGATTCACAGCTTGTCTTGTTCACCTCGATGTTGATTGGTTGTTGTTGACATCGAGGTGCACAAGACAAGCTGTGAATCACATGTGGAGAAATACAAGCACTTCACTTCTACCCGAAGTTTATACTGATGATGTCGTTCAGAAGGACGATGAAAGCTCCACGACCAAACCATCCAGCTCAAAGAAGAAAACTCCATCAAAAAGTCATTATACTTAGCCAATCAATCAAAACCTTTTCAAAAAGTATTAGAAAATTGTACTTTAGTTTGCCAACCCCCCCCCATATTCCTGAATTTTAATTTAAATCTCATTCCCAGTAAAACTTTATCAATGCTAAGAGTAATGAATCAATTTCTCACTTTATAAAACAGTCTACTGTTATCCTAGGATTCTTTACTTAAACCTTGTCTAAGGTTACTCGAAGGTCACAGTCATGAGTTCATTATTATAGATTGTGAGTATTCTGATAACAAATATAAAGAAATTGTCTGAACCTTAGTGCTAGCCCGTCCTACAGGATCTACTTCTTTTATTGCTTGCGGAGCTTTTTCTTAATATTTGCATTTCTGTGTTATATGAATAAACAATGTAAAAGATGAGAGAAAAATAGCAACTGTAAGTAAAGATTGTTTATTGTGTATCAACATATACTACTTATGTTTTACATGACTTCGTATAAGTGTAACATGAAAATCGACAGTTTTGTCAATATCCATTGTGCACTTGTAATTCGTACCAGAGTTTATTGAGTAAATTTAATAAAATTAATAATATTATTGATTTGTAAAAAAATTTAAAAAAATATTTTGAACACTATACATTTGAAATTAAGAAAATTACATCTATCAAACAATTCAGTCAGTCAGTCAGCTACAACGTAGAACCAGGCACATATATACATCGGTCCAATTCGCCACACCTCGTTAGCACAACAAGATGAACACTGGATTCATAGAAGTAATTAATTTAGTGGTGGTAGTAGTATATAAATTATAGGTTGTATATAAGGATATAGTACAGGAAGGAAGAGAGATTTATTATTATTATTAGCTTTATTCAATATTATATATTTGGTACAATATAGAATTCTCAGCACAAAGTACTTCAACAAGTTTCCGTTTCTTACTTCTTCGTCCTTTCTGACGAAAAATATTGGGTGATCGTCGGTTAGAAGTTAGCAGCCCAGTCAATCGACATCTGGATAATGTACATTCTTCTCGCTGCATATTGCCAGAAACCACGATATCTCTGATTAGGCCTTCTGTAACCTTTACAGCGAAAGGTCTTACACTTTTCAGAAACGCACTTGAATAGGTTGTGCGATTAATAGGCATAATGATGTCTTAAAACAAACGAAATCAGATAACTTGTTGAAATATTTAGATGACAGGAACAGGTAGCCCAGATGTTTAAACAGGCCGCCAAAACCTTGATATGAAGCAATTTTAGTCTCAAGGTTTAAGGGAAGATAAACAGTGTATACACCTACGCCATTGTGATCGATTCTGAGCCATGTCACACAGAGTCTCCAACCATTGATTACGATAATCACGCGGACCCCAACCAGGTAGTCTGCATCTGCCAACATGGCTCAGACTAGAAGTTAGTGTCTTCAAACACTGATGCCATGTTTTGGTTTGGCCGCCCCTAACTCTCTTCCAACCGTCCCCAATACTAGTCAGCATAGCGCGTCGTGGTAATCGGTGTTCAGGCATACGTAACACATGGCCCAATCATCTCAGTCGATGAAGATTCATGACTCATCAACTGATTTACCATTATTCCCTAATACGCTGCGTCTAACCTCACTGTTACTTACCCGGTGATCCCAGCAGATGCGAGCAATATTTCTAGGGTATCTGTGGTCAAATACTAGTAACCTACGAGTATTTTCTACTCTTAATGGCCATGTTTCACAGCCGTAAAGTAGAACAGAGCGAACTGATGCGCAGTATACTCGTCCTTTAATTGATAGACGGATATCTCAAACAATTACATACTACTAAATGGTGTAATGAGTAATATATTATCTGATCATTGTGAAAAATACAAAAGATATTTCTACCAAGTTGTTAAAAGTACATTTTTCACTATTATTTTAAAAATTTTTGTTTGAACTGCTTGTATATAAACAAACTTAGTGTAATGTTATAACTTGTGAGTGAGTGTGTGCCATTTTGATATATGAACGTGCTGATTCCCACCAACTAAAGAGTAGTGAATTTATTGATCGCCCAATGATACACAAAACCCATATGAGCAGTCTTAAGTACTTATCAGTCCTTCTATCTGCCTATCCCTGTCAGTTAAGTCCAGAACACCAATAACAGTCTCTGTAATATGAATCATTATTCTCAAACATACTGGGTTTATATACCAATCAAACTGGCCACATCATACCATAAAATAGAAAATAACATTTGTACAAGATTTGGCCAAATGTGTCTGTGAATAAGAGGAACAGTAATTAATGGACTAGGAAAAACTCAAGAATGGTAAATCGTACAGTAATAGTCTATAGGTCAAAATAAAGCTTATAAAAAAAGGAACATGAATATGAATAGTTAAGTTACTTAGCGATCATACAATAGGAAATATACATATCACATTGATCCATAAATAATCCTCAGAGTTACCATTCATAATTCTCCACGGGATATAAGATCTAACTTATTTCAGTAATCATTGAAACGTTCCATTATGATTATAAAACTAAATTGTTATACAATGAAAAGCATGATAACTTATGCATTATAGTCTATAATCTAAGTTAAGCTGAATTTCATTTCTCTAATCATATATATATATATCAATCTTTACAGTAGTTACATCTGTCATTGTAAAACTGAGTAAAATATAATGGAAATGTAGTAATTATCGATATCTTACTTTACTATTCAGTAGAGTATCTACAGCATACATTTATAAAGCAACTAAATGTAAATGTAAGTTTATATAATTGAAATCATGAGTCAATTGAAGCTAGACCACCATCGAAAACCTGGAAGTAGTAGACGGTCGTTTCGTCCCATTGTGGGACTCCTCAGCAGTTCGCATCCACGACTGACTGGCTCCATGAAGTATTTCCTGGAGTTCTAGTGAGAAGCGGTGGCCAGTGGAGTTCAAACCACGTATTTTGTGAGATGTCAGCTCATTGAAGACATAGGCGAGTGGTTTCTCAATTTTGTGGATTGAAGTTAGAAATTAGTGGTAAGGCACTCGTGCGCAAGGCTAAAACGTCCTGGGTTGGAATCTCGCGAGGCGGGGTCGCAGATGCGCACTGCTGAGGAGTCCCACAATAGGACGAAATGGCCGTTTACTACTTCCAGATTTTACATGGTGGTCTAGCTTTAATTGATTCATGATCTCAACTATATACAATTACTAAAATCTCCACAAAAGTTCTTTCTAGTAATTGTAAGTTGTTTGAAACTCTAGAAGGATGATGAATTTGATCAACTACGATAATCATCTTAGTTGTGTTTCCAGTAAAATTAATTCATGCTTTCGGTGAACTATTCATTTTGTCAGCAATATTTAAAAGAATATATGTAGGAGCATGTTTTTTTATTTCAATTAGTTACGTGATTAAGATCCCTGTCTGGATTTCACATGATATAATTAACGAAAGAAGGAGAAAAAACCCCTGTGAATCCTTAGGATAATATTTTGACTTTGTATTTATATGGAAAATTCAATGTAAATTTCTGCCTAATTTCGATTATATTGAGTTATATAAATCTAGTGGTATATATACAGCCGACGTTTGAGATAAACATGAGTATACATGACTTGTCATATGAATAATGCAACTAGATATTCCATATTTATTCGTCTCACACTATAATCCAAATGGGTAGAAGCGTTTCCTAATCCCTCTGAAGATAATAAATAATCTCAAGGACTGGTTATACGAACCTAGTCCATATGTTTATAACATTGTAGTTTAAAGACTTGCTGGACGCTTCTAGACAAGCAAATCTTACGTTTGGCCCGGTATTGGATTTTAATTAACGGTTATAAGGGTGCCCAAAACTAAAAGCAGGTAAACTATCTATGATATTATGCTAGTTGACTTATCAATTTATGGCAATCTAGAAAATTTACTGATCGAAGTTCTAGGATACTAGTAACTATTTACTGTATACAAATATTTGTACACTAGTCAGGGTTCATTAGATTATGGACTCATTTGGGCTTTGTAATATTTTCAGCTAATATTAGTCAGTTACTTAAATCACTTTCAAGTAGTTAACTTTAATTTTTAGTAGAAAACAGTTTTACGTAAATGAATCGAATTGAACTGTTAAAGGTTTAATGTATTCCAATGTAGACTTACTCTTGATATTAGAAATTTTTCCCAAACGGATTATATAAAAGGAGATCTGAGATACTCATGTAGTAGAATAAGCAAACTTTATCAACATGTTTTTGATGATATATGTTAGAGAGCAGTGATTTTGATTAGAGTACATATAAATTAATCAATATACCAGTTTTAAATAAGTGTTCAGTTTTAAATTTACCTTTAATTTAGGACTCTGGATATAAAATAAAAGTTAGAAGAACCATTCTGTGCTTGCCAAGAGATGTATACTTACTCAAATAAATTAAAATTGAGATGTGAAAGGACCTACAGAGAAGCAAAAGTAGTTCAATATAAAACCTTTATTTTAAACATAATAGCAATTCTTAATTTTGTAAGTTAAAGCCTTCTGCCGAAATTAGAGAGCCTTTTTGGACTCCGATTCGATTTGTAAAACATTTATATCAAGATGCCAGAAGAGCTTAGAACTTGTACTGAAACATCGGAGGCAAAAACTACTTACCAAGAAAATATTCTTTTCATACGTTATTACATTGAATCAACAAATACACAAAGGCATAATCACAAGTTAAACGTATTGTAAAATCAGTCATGAATTTATTGGTAATCTAAGAGATACAATTTAGTATTTGATTGCTTTCGGATAATTTCATCCTATTCATTTCCATGTCCGTGCTCTTCATGTTTAAAATCTTGTGGTGTCCCTTCTCCAAGTATTAAATATGGCTTGCCTTTTTCACAGATTTAATTCATCTTGGTGATTATACACAACCAAGGTGAAATCCTACATTGAAACGAAGAGGTGCATCTCTTCCCTGCCTAGTTTTGATATTTCACTTTTTATACTACTTAATATTTATAAAGTAGGTTTATCCCACTACTACGTATAAGAGGTAACAGAGCTTGTCAATTATGTTCTGAAGCAGTCACCAGCGGTTTGCTTACATAAATACATTTTACAGCTTCACACTTTCTTCTAAATATAGGTAAACACGGACTTTTGGATTCAGAGAAGGTTATTCAATAAAGCCACGTGATCACTTATGTGCAGTCCGTTCCTCTGACATATTGACACCTTTAAGTATTCATCTACATATCAACCTTATTAATGGAAATCCATGTAAGACAGATTAAATGATTTCACTCATCTGTATTTTGATAAGGGATGAAGTGCATCAAATTTTTCATACATTTAAACAAGTTCTTTCTGACTCATGGCTAGAAATTCATTCCAAGCCTATCTTCGAACAATTCGAATTCACAAGTTAGCAATATCACAGAGTTTACAACAATTAGTTCTTGTTTACTGATGTTATAGAAAATAACATCAAATATGTCTTTGATATTACAGAGGTTTAATTTATCCCCTCGATAACCTCCTTCAGAAATCCACCTTTTAATTTTATTAGAAACAAATCAGATATGATGAAGCATTCGGGTGATCTTGTAGAGTCTAGTTCAATGTCAAGCTCACATAGGTTATTCTACCTTCCAGACAGATTAACCTATTCATTTTTCTTGAGTCACATTTCGACCTTGTCAATTATTCTCTCATTAAACTTGGCTGCTTTTATGTGAGCGTATGTATATGTATATCTTGTCCTACTCATCAAATATCTGAAGCTTTCTTTTGTTTGACTAGAAAAACAGATTCAGGCTTAGTTAAATTGAGTTGGCTCACACGCCTTCTCCACCACGCATCATTTCATTCTGTTTCGCTCTCTCGTTTTTGCTTCGTTTCTTTGATTGTCTGTTTGGATCAACAATTGTATGAAATATACATGTACTCGTATTTGACTTGCTTAATTCCGTTAATCACAACCACGATCAAAGTTGATAATTATATACCAGTCTAGGTGGGGTATGTATTTCGATAAATCTATGACAATGAGAAACGATCCAACTGGAGTCAGATATGAGTCCACTAAAATCTCAAATCTATCCTTCAGTTAACTGTTTACAAACTTCTAAATAAAACTTGTGGTAATTCAATAACGATTACTTGTCCTGATTCTCATCAAGATTAAAACGTCGGGAATTAAACTTTTCTATCCCTTAAAATGCTACAAACATATTATTATGACGTTTTTCGTTTATTTTGAGAGATTAATCTGTCTAACAAAATAATTTGGAACGTTCATCGTTAACAATCACTTATATTAGATCATCTGACAAGGCCTAGTTTTTTTCTTCTTGTTTGAAGATTTTCTATTTACAACTAGAATTGTATAAAGCGTACATAAACATTTAAAGTCTCATTTAAACAATGTACGATAAGTGAAATAATTTCAGTAAATTTAATCAGTCATTATCATCATCTTTTTATTACTCATAACTTTGAAATTCGAAACCGTTATCTCAACTGATCAACATCAAAACTTATCAAAACTCATAATTCATTAAGTAAGTTTAAAGATTACCATCTACGTCAGTCAGATCATGGTAGTTCCTTTATCCTGATCAATTATAAACTTTTCAACTTAGACTTCACATATACTTTCGACTATACTGAATGAGTGTGAGAATCTAGTCTCCAAATTATATTATGTTCATGATTTCATTTAAATATATTCTTATTTAATGTAAGAAGGTACAAAATCTTTGTTGGTCAACATTACTTTAATACAATAGTCACACTGTTATGAATTTCAACAGAAATGTTTTATAAAAAATGTATTTTCAATTTTAAAAATTAATTTATAAAATCTTTAATGTTTATGTCATAATCAATCAGAAAACAATCAATAGAAAAGTAAACAATGAAAAAGGGAGAAAGTTCCCTTTGATTATCGAATTTAATTCGGTTTATTTCCAAAATTAAGTATATATATATATATATATATACATAGAGAGAGAGGGAGGGAGGGAGCATTATTGGGATTCGACCTTAGTTGCTAACCGCCCCTTCAATATTATCGAATAATATATTACAATTGATATTCTAAATAATAAAAACAATAACTATCGAGTTTATTGAATTCCTTTATTTTATCGAGTATATTATGTCTTATCCATGGATTGAATACCTTTATATTCAGTTGTCTATACATAAACTTTTGTTTAAATGCTTCATAAAATCATGAATTATAAAGAGGTTATTATTATTATATTACTATTTGATGCAATACATAATGTATCTTTTGTTTATAGTTCCCTCCATTCATTTATTTATTAATATGTATTGTTTTAATGCTTAATGTATTCAATGTACAAGGTAAGTTGTAAACTTTAAAAATATATGATTGATACATTCAGTTATAAAATATATAAAACCTATTCTGAATGATGAACAATATGAGTTTACTATATTCATGTTGTATTGTAGAAGATCTATATGAATTTCTAAGAGTTTTGTTTAGATTTCCCTTGGAGAAACTAGAATCACTTGTGGAAACACTAAAAACTAATAAAGACTATACACTAATTCTTTATATGTTAAGCTGTTTGAGACATAAAAATGTATACATAATATAATATATTTGTAATATCCCAATGAGTAGAAAAATTAGATTTTTTGACGTTTCGTGACTCAGTGTAAGCCACTTCTTCAGAGAATAAATAACCAAATGCATGTACAACTACTTAAAACAGATTGGACACATAATTCTTATTTCCTGACCATGCGACTAAATATTTTATTGCCTGAGTTGTTATAACTAGAATGACTTTGATGGCTAAATATATGAAAGAGAAAAATGATAAATTCTATAGAAGATAAAAAACTATTACAATAATACATCAGATGAAAAATGTATATTAGAGAAATGAACTAGAAGGCAATGTGAAGATAGTTTAAATAAACATTAATGCAGTTTAAAATCTAGAGAGGATAGTAGAAAAATTGAAAAATCTATGCGCACTGCTGAGGAGTTCCACAATAGCACGAAACGGCCATACAGTGCTTCCAGGTTTTTCACGGTGGTCTAGCTTCAATTGACTAATGATTTCAACTATATATAAATCCATATCTCTTTAAGTTTCAGGTTAGACTATATTTATGATAAATGTGTTTTTAGTGCATTGGCAATGTTGAACTATGCAACCGATTTTACTAAATCTATCCATTAAATTTATCAAAGATAAATGTGTTGAACTGAATAGAAGAGAATGCTTCAAAATACATTGTAATCAGTTCTTTGAATAGTGTATATTTGAAAATGACTAAAGGCTTCAAAATTCAAGAAGTTGTTATGAAAATCCCATAAGGATGATAATGTTTAACTAACTCTAGGTGACATGGCTCAGAATCGATCACAATTGCGTAGGTGTATACACTCTTTATCTTCCCTTAAACCTTAAGATTAGAATTGCTTCATAACGTTCTTCCTTTCTATACTATATCCTTATATATAACCCATCTTTTATGTAATACCACGACTAAATTAACTACTTCTATGAATTGGGTGTTCATCTTGTTGTGCTAACGAGGTATGGCGAATTGGACCGATGTATATATGTGCCTGGTTCTACGTTGTAGCTGACTGACTGACTATTTGACTAATTGGAATTGTATTAGACTTTTTCATGATATGTAGCATCATTTTAATTATACCTAATAGAATATCATATCATTTGTCGACATAGAATTTTTATTATTTCTCTGGCATATTTCTCTAGGTATAAAATTACCGAAGGCATATGGAGATGACAGTAAGTTTGTCATTCTATGAAATAATCTGAAATTTATAACAAATGATATAATTCACTTGAGAATAATTATGTTGATAATAATTATGAAGTTTACGTCATAGTATACAATTACAGGTCCCAAACTCTTTGCTGATGAAAGACAATATCTTCACTACTGATTACATGTAGTATTCTTTAAACTGTTCATCTAATTATCGGAATATAATTAAAAGTAAACTTATCTTATTTATGTAGTGATGCCGATAGGTGAAAGTATATAAAATGCTATATTATTTTGAAAAAAGACATCTTACTAGTTTCTAACACTGTTAGCCTAGTAACTTTCCATGGTAAAAGATTATTTAATATCTAAGATTAACCGAAAAAATGTATCAAATGAGGTTAGATATGGTATACAGTATACATAGCAAAATCCTGCAGCCTATGTGTTAAGTCCTTAGCTTGTACGATTATCGCGAAATACGCTGACTTATATGACCAAAATAAAAAGCATACACTAGTACGGGTAGCCTAAAATTCTTATTGGTCCTTTTTCCGCTTAGCCTTACCTTTTGAGTTCAGAACACTAGTCTCAGCCTCTTCAATACGAATCATATATTTGAAACATACTAGGTTTTTGTAAAAATAAAACAGACCATATCACACCATAAAATAGGAAATAATATGTGTATATGATTAAACCAAAAGTGGCTGTGATTTTGAGAAACTGTGACTAATAGATTGAAAATAACTTGAGAATAGTAGGTCATATAACTAACCAATAGGTCAAATAAAAGCTTATAATGAAAGGAATATGAATATACATACACACACAGTAAGAATATTCTCGTCCGGATATAACACTATATGTTGATTTAAGCTTGATCAAATCATATTATTCATGTCTGATAAATTTCGTGAGAACTTTAAGAATTCTGTTTGCTTTGCTGTAAGGTCTCAATCTAGCTACATTGCTTCTTCACTCATTCAGATTATCTGCATAGACATATTTTAAAAAAACTTTGAAGAATTATCTAATCTAGACATATAATGAACATTAGTTTTTAGTAGAAATGAGTTATTCTAGATTCATAAAAATCAATTATTTGACTAAAATACAAACTCACCAATTATGTAAAATCAGCATATGCATTTAGTTCTTTTATTGCATTCATTGCCTAATGGGAACATCTACACTGATGGATGGGCAGAAATTGTTTATCTTTCATAATTACTTATAAATGTAATTAGAAATTATTAAAAGCTGTGTGATTTGTTGATTGATAAATATAAATAAGAACAATTAAAGTTTTAAAAAGATAAATTCATGACTGAATTTATTACAAGTAGTCCTAAAATGTTTCTTTACTCTTATGTTACCTTTTACAACACATAATATATATAGTTCGATTTGCAGAGATTATTAAATGTTGACTTAGATTTTAACTGACTGATTGAATAATTATAAATACTATCTTATGAGCTTACGCTTGAATTTCTTCTTATTTAAAGGCAAATAAAATTAGGTTCTCAGTATAGGATCAAGCGCTCGTATTGGAGACTTAAGGCTTGAGGTTCCATTCTAGCGTTTCAGATTATGTGCGTCCATTTGTGAGGAGTTCCACGCTGGGACGAAACGTCCACCCACTGCTCCAATTTTTTAAATGTTGATCTAAATTATATCCGTTTATGATCTCAATGAAAAACTAGATTTACTTGTAATCATTATATAGTGAACCATTATGTTGAAACATATCTTGATCGTTGATGTTCTACACTACTCACTTTCATTTGTACGTTTGAACAAAAAGATGATTATAACACTGACTAAATAGTTTAACAATTCTTAATTATTGAATATCTTAAATTTAGAAAATGCTCAATCATGATAACAATTTTTCAACGCATAATGCTGAAATAATCTTTCTGTACGATTAACTACAGAAGTCAATAATGTCTACATTTTATTATCGAATGTCGCAGGTGGGGTCGTGGGTGAGCACTACTGAGAAAACACATACTGGGACGAAACGGCCTCCCAGCCTTTCTAGGTTTTCAGTAGTGGTCTAATATCAATCCATTTATGATTTCAATCAAAAAACTTAACATTCTCCACAACCTCATACTGATATTTTATTTTTCTATTGATTTCAGAAAAAGAAATCGAAGATGATTTTGAAAAAATGATTGACATGATAGACGAAGAAAAATTTGGTCCATCAGATGAAACAGGTATTTAAAGTCATATTAACTCATGTGTGAGTACTGATATTATTCAACAGTTATTAGCATACATAGGTAATTATCACGTTGAAATTGTTTGAATAGATTTTCTAATTATTAAGAGACATTTGATGAACTTCGTGGCCAATAGCCTCATTTAATTTGTAGGGTTATATTGTGGTGTATGCTATTGATTTCAACAGACATAAGTAGTAGTGTGTGTTAGAAGTGAAATGCCTGGCATCAGAAGTTTAAGGAGGTCGAAGAAAGGAGAACGAGAACGGAGAACGATTGCTATCGAAGCGAAGAAATAATGAAGTCTGAGATGATTGGTTCACATTATGCTCATGAAGTATTTGCTAAATGATCCTCAGATTTTACTAAGACGTTCTGTAATTTGTGTTTCAAATGCATTCGGTCGTTCCTACTAATGTTCTCGTTCAATACAACATAACTAAGAAACATTATATAAAAATTGGTTACTTGTTCAAACATTTGTCACTTATTTTCCAATTGGCTAAATATTGTAATAAATATTCGCATTTTACTTACTTACTCACTTACGCCTGTTACTCCCAATAGAAAATAATTATAAATCTCAGTTGTAACTACATTCACAATGTCATGAAAGGCATGAAACGTGTTACTATGTTAAAGATTAAACATTTCACACCCGAACATTACATTTGCTGGTGTAGTTTCGACTTCATTTTCCCCTTTTGATATATTGAGAGATTTCTTGCTTTGTATAACTGGTGAAGGAAAAATAATTGTGTATATGGACTGATAGTCAACTCTGATAATTGAAGATGAGTGTAAGATATGAACTATTGAATAAAACATATTTTGAATCATTAGTTTAAATGTACATAATGAAAAATATATTGTGATACTGTACAATTAATGTCGGGAATTCCTCCAGGTAACATAATGTATCATGATGAATAAAGTTACTGTGTTATTGGTTTGCAACAAGTTTAAGGAAAGGAATTTGATTATTTAAAGTTAATGTATTCAATTATGTTGATCTTAGAGAAATTATAAATCGAACATGATAAAAATGTTTTACATAAAATGTCTATAATCCTCGTTTAGAAACATAGAATATTTTTATTTGGGATCATGAATCAGTCAATGTTGGACCGCCATTGAAAATCTGGAAACACCAGACGGCTGTTTCGTCCTAGTATGGGACTCCCCGGCAGTGCGCATCCACAATCCTTCATGCAGAACTCAAACCTAAGATATCCGGTCCCGCGCGAGCACGTTTAACCTCTAGACTACTAAGCCGTCCTCAACTGGTGTTATTGTCTATCTTCAATCAATCCACCGTATTACACGACCATCTCAACAATCTGCACAACCGTATAGGGTTGAAATAATTTACCAGTTTTTACGTTTAAATGATTTTACTTTTACGAAATCAGCTTTTGAAATTTTATAAATCGATGGTTGACAGAAAGTGACAACTGCTTAGATCATAAGGCGTGAAATAATGTTTTATACAGTCTAGTGCTTAAATGATCACTAAATTTGTTGATGCCTGTGATTTGAACTTAATCTATGGTCGTATAACTAGTTTTCTTTTAAAACAAGAACAATCTTCCTGTTTATTTCAGATCCTCCAGGCTGGGAATCGGACACCAGATATGAAAAAGAAATACGCATTGGCAAAGTGAAGAAAGGAGGAAAATTTGGACCAAGTAGATGTTAAATTGTTTTATATCAAAATAAGTCTATTTGGTGACATAATTCATCTGACTAAAATCATATTTCATTTAATGATATAGTACAGGAGATAATTATGCTGTTTACCTACATTAAAGTATCTGAATCAAAAAAGTCTTGAAATAAGTACACTTCAATCAGGCAATCCAATAATGTGGTTTCGTCTTAGTGCCTTCCAGAAGAGTTTAGGATAATCATCACTTTTGATTCAGTTCTCGAGAAAATTGATCTCATATTTCACTATCGCAAGCTTGATGATGAGATCAATTTTCTCAAAAGCTGTATCGAAAGTACTGATTATCCTAAATTCTTCTGGAAGACACTAAGACGAAACCACATTCATCCCAATGCAAAAACTCTTAAATCCAGTAATGATCAGTCAAGTGTTAAGTTTCATATTAAATGAAGTTTTAAGTGTCCACATTTCATTTAAATGTGGGTGTGAACTATTGTAAGTTAGAATAAAGTCCTTCAAACACTAATTCTTAAAATATTATATTGAATTCCACTCCTACAACTGAAGACATAATTAACTATAAACCAAAATCAGTAAATAGAGAGCCTCTTTAATTTGTTAATATGTTATTATTATTATTTCCAACACACAAAAGAACTTTATAAACGTGTGCATAAGCAGCTAGTAGTCTTATATGTTCATTTTCTATACGATACCATAAACTGACCATCCAGTCGCTTTTCCAACTAAGTCTTAAAGTCAGTATATAGTGATAATTGCACTTATGAAAAAAGTCCAAAGTTAGCACTACAATATCTTTTAAGCACGCTCTGTCGAGTTTATTTGATTGTTGACATTGACTATACTTTGTTGGATCTGGGCTTCATTACGTCCGAATTTAGGTGAGGATTACTTAAATATATTATCACTCCAATTTATTACAGTTTTGGTAAAACCTCGTCGCAAACTATAGAAAAAACTTTAATTATGCCCATCACCACTTTATTGATTGATGTCATACTACAGTCAACAAGACTGGGGTTTTTACTGCTATAAATTTTTAAAGTACCAGATTGAAAGCAAATTTAAACAATGAATAATGAGCTCGCATTTACAAGAAAACTAGATGTTGAAACTTTCCGAACATACAAATAGATTCATCTGTTGTCCTGTTTGTAACAAGATTTGGAGTTAAAGGTCTTGTGTTCAGCTAGGATAAATAGTTTCAGAAATCTTACATCAACTGATGTACCCGAAGATAATAACCAGATATCACCAGTGCAATGACTTGGGACTAATTAAACTGGACAAATGCGAGTTGCTGATTATGGTTAGCATTGAAATAAAGTGAGATAAATGGTAACAATTCAGCAAAATAAGTTTGCTTATAACACAGTACATATAACGTTCGTAATATGTGAGGATTGATATTCATGTTAGGTGAATTATAATCTTCATTCTCTTCACTGATGTTCATCACTGTTTTCCTGTGGGCTGTGATAATGTCCTAGTACCTGACCCGAAGTAGGTAATTTTCATTGAGAAAACAGTTCTTCAGCTTCTATGCTGAATATCTAATATATCAAGCATTTGAGTAACGTGAGACGGTGTGATCCCATAAAAGTTAATGGCCTGAATACATATATACGCAACGTTGATTCTTAATCATAGTTTTCAATCTCCCTTTAGCAAATCTGCCGTGATTGTCAATCAAGTTTAACCATTTTAAATCAAGTGAATAATATCATAAGTAAAAGTAGTTACTGAGCACGCTCATCAATATAAAAATCACACTCAATTTAAAATCAGGTCAGTTATTTTGACATAAAACTAGCATATTCGGGGAAACAAGAGAACTTTGGTGTGAACTGATGAAAGAACTACTTGTCACACTACCTGGTAGTTCATGAACTGCCTTTATTTCAATAACTTTTTAATGTCTAAACTTCCCAATTAGTTAAAAACATTGTGATGAAAATGAATTTCATTTGTGTCATTATCATGAAATATGAACGTTCTCTTTCTTTATTTCAATAGAAGGTAAAACAATAGAGCGTGTAATATTAAAGAAGAATAAACCTTTCGGTAAAAATGACTCTAGACCAGGTGAAATTTCTATATTGCTCGTAGTTTTTTTTAATCTGTGACTGAAACACTAAATATTTACGTATTCAAATGGCTTGCTCACTGAATAAATTTAAACTTTATAATAAAACGATGACAGCTAATATTTTAGACAAGATTTATGTAAGAGATAAAACCCTAATTGATTGATCACTGGGTGGTGATCAATGTCATGTGTGTCGGGTCCTTCTTAGTTCATATCGAATCCTATCGATCAAGTTGCAATGTGGCCACTAGTCTAGGTGACTCGATATTGCGTGCACTATGTTGAGATAAGATGGTGGTTGGAGGTAGTCAACAGGAAACCTTGGACCCAGGCTTAGTGCTACTTGGCACTCGTAAGCAAGGTGTACCTGTGGTCTTGGGGGAATTATCTTGATAGCTTTCAGTTTCCTTCTCTTTGCCCTTAATTTCAGGCTTCTCAAACTTCTGCTCGTAAACACTCCACTTCCCACTAGTATTACATACTACATATATCGGGAAACATAAGTTGCATACACCACACTGTAACTTGTATATAGTCCTTATATTCTTCATTATAATACAACAATTATGGATTTTGTAACTGTAGTGCCGAATAATTATGTTTCTGTAAACATCGGTTTTATATGATTATCTTTTATTTTTTGCTGTTACTAGATTGGGAATAGATTTACAGTTTGAATCCATTTAGTTACACATTTAAATAACTTTGCTTTAAAGTCAGAAACATTTCTTCTCATGTACATACACTCACATACAAATGTTAATTAGTAAAACACAGTAATATGTAATGGAATTCATTACAAGCTGAGTTTATGTAAAATGTACACTGTCTTTTTAGTAACAATAATTTAGATATTCAGAAGGGGTTTTGTGGAAATTTCAGTATTTTCATAGTTGTACGCATGAGTCAATTGAAGCTAGACCACCATCGAAAACCTTGAAGCACAGGATGGACGTTTTGTCATATTGTGGGACTCCTCAGCAGTGCACATCCACGATCTCGCCTCGCCAGATTCGAATCCAGGACCTACCAGTCTCGCCCCAGAACACTTAACCGATAGACCACTGAGCCGGCATCCGATGGTCCTGGGTTCTAATCTCGCGAGGCGAGATCGTGGATGTGCACTGCTGAGGAGTCCCACAATATGACGAAACGTCCATCCAGTGCCTCCAGGTTTTTGATGGTGGTCTAGCTTCAATTGACGCATGCTTTCAACTATGAAAATTTAGATATTATTAAACGTCTCTTCAAGTTGGCTGTTACATTTTTCACTTAAAATACAATAGATAACTATTTTTTTAACTATACGTTTATCAGATTTCTCAGATTGGGAAATTACAGAGGAAGATGAAAGAGAATTATTGGTCAAGGAATAATCAACTATAAGAAGTTCGATGTAAGTATCACAAACCAGATCTTATTATTATATTCTGCTATTCATTGTATTGAATTGATGTTTTTTTTTAGAAACACTGCAAGTGTATAAAACCAACTTTAAACCTTACTACATGTCAAAATGAGCCATCTTGAGATATGCCTAGGTTTCAATGAGTTAATTTCGTATTTCATTTATTCTTCTTAAAAACTCCTGACGATTTAATTTGACAGTATATGATGTTAGAATTGTATGTTCGGAGATATTAAGTAATATTGTAGTGAACAAAACACGAGTGGGGACAATCGAATGTATTTTAAGATAGCATTACAGAATACCTCATTAAAGTATGAGAACCATATAGTGAATAGTTAATTTGCAAAATGACAATCAATTGTCTCAATTTGACTGCAAATATCCGTCCATAATCTCCTATTATAATTTTGCATGCATTTTCGTACCAATTGCTTGCCGTTCCCATTTTCTCTTTATCGATCTTCTACTGAAATACATTCAATGCCCGAACATCACCATATACTACTTATGTGGATATCAGTAACACACACCACAATATAACTCATCATTTATTATGATGTTACAAATGCATTTACTCAATATGTACTAGACATAGTCATTATTTTTAAGCTTCCGAATTCATTTACAAGAGGCAGCTTAGATTTATCAGCTTATAAAATTCACCTTACCATTAAATTGTATAAACAATGTTTAGATTGAACTGAAAGATCTTAGTATTTTTGCATTCTACATACACGAAAACTATAGTACAATATAGTAGTAACAGCAAGTACATGAATCTTCATTTCAATGATCTATATTATTTTTTTAAAAAATTCATTAGAAGGTCAATTTTACGAAGTGATTATCTTTAAACACTAAGTAGGTATCATTACCAAGTATTGATTTGATAATTTTGAATAAATTGAGCACTGGGTAGAATGTCATAAACAAAAATAATGTATCTGTAATATCCCAATGAGTAGAAAAATTAGATTTTCTGACGTTTCGTGATTCAGTGTAAGCCACTTCTTCAGAGAATAAATAATCAAATTAAAATTAATCCAAGTTTAAATAGTACAACGGAACAACACGTATATTAGGTGCAATCAGTTAAAAACAGGTCTGAATAAATCAATGTCACGTCATTTCGGTCAAGGTGATTCATAAGCGACATGAATGTAAATTTGTGTGTATGTGTGCACTGTTAAGGATGAAAAATGTGTGACCTTTATAATTACAAAGGATAGAGTTTAATTTGTAATGTAATGGTGTGAAATTGTAAATAATATCAGACTGAGTGACTAGGATAGATAGTCCAAGTAGAATTTATGGTAAGGCCTTCCTTTCTATTGAGAGCAGTAAGATTATGTATTATATGGAATGCTTCAGCTACACTCCTTTCTTTGTAATTGGAAAAACCTTTTTGTAGTATTTCGGTATTTTTGAAATCAATTTGATGATTGTTGAAAATGGCGTGAACTGCTATGTCCGAAATGACATGACATTGATTTATTCAGACCTGTTTTTTGACTGGTTGCACTAATATTCGTGTTGTTCCGTTGTACTATTAAATCTTGGATTAATTTTAATTTGGTTATTTATTCTCTGAGTCACGAAACGTCATAAAATTTAATTTTTCTACTCATTGGGATATTAAAAATATATTATTTACTCAAAGAATTAGGTTACCTGCATTTTCACTAATTCCAAGGTGATATCGTTAAAAGACATGAAGGTCTAAGGTTATATCCGTGTAAGATTATTGATTGTGCAACACTTTATAAATGTATATATACTTGAAATCATGAGTCAATTGAAGCTAGACCACCGTAAAAGTTCTAGTGAGAAGCAGTAACTAATGGAGTTCAACCAGGTCTGTTGCGAGATATCAATTTATTGAAGACATTGGTGAAATGGTTGCTCAACTTCGTGGATTGTTTGAAGTTAAACATTAACACCGTTGGATGCCGGCTCAGAGGTCTATCGGCCAATTGCTCTGGCGCGAAACTGGTAGGTCCTGGATTCGAATCGCTGGAGGCGGGGTCGTGGATACACACCCACGATAGGACGAAACGGCCGTCCAGTGCTTCCAGGTTTTCCTTGGTGGTCTAGCTTCAATTGACTCATCATTTTAAGTATATATGAAAATTACTTCACATCTCCACAGAAAACCCACTTTATACATGTATTTAAAAGCTAACTTCTTTTTCTTTCTATTTATAGTGTATATTTAAAATAAGGGTAACTCTTCTCATAAATTATAATTGAACACTATTTCTACCAATAAAATCTAGTACTTTTTCGGTTTTGTTTTGATATTTCAGAGAATGAAAAGACTACAAGATGAGAATACTTCTTTATATTCAATAAAAGGAGATAACATTTAATGAATTGCTTAGATATAAATGATTTTAATTAAATTTACAAATATCTTTTTTTTAATTATTCTAATGTATTTCCTCCTTGAATAGTTGGATTTACGACAAACTGTAATTTTATTATCATACAGTTTTACTGTTCATTTATGCAACATATCGAATAAATAAAAATAATCTTATAAACTGGTGACAGAGATTGACTTAAGTATATATACAGGTTTACTGGTCATTTGTTTTATCTGTAATTAAGAAGTAGTTATGAAAAACTTCATTAAATGATTCAGTAGTTCCATATGAAACTAATTCTATGAGATACTATTCTGTATATATATTTTGCGTAAATGATATAATTTGTTGATTCAAAGACTGGATAAACTATCGAAATAAAATTCAATTTAGACATTTTAGTTTATGTCAATTAGAACCATTTTGAGTTATTCAATACTGTTTGATTTTGCTATTGTTTCTTACCCATCCGAAGGACAACAAATCATTAGGAGTCTATTACTCATTTAAGTTGAATGTTTACAAATTTTTTTAGTTCTCTAAAGTACATTTTGATATATTTAAGGTTTGAATAATTCTTGCTAAAAAATGTTATGAATGGTTAACATTTGATAAAATTACATCATACATTTGTTTGACAGAATCTCTAAAGAAAAGATTAAATCGTTATGTATTAGTTTTATTATGAATAACAGCTATTACAACATTATAAACTCTTGCAAAATATATCAGGACGTTTAATCGCGTGCGTGAATATCAGACTCCAAACTTACTTACGCCTGTTACGCCTAGTGGAGGAGCATAGGCTGCACACCAGTTTTCTCCATCCAACTATGTCCTGGGCAGTTCTTTTCAGTTCTTTCCAGTTGTAATTCAACGTTTATATCTGCTTCTATTTCCCGCCGTTACGTGTTCTTTGGCCTTCCTCTTTTCTGCTTCCCTTCCGGATCCCGTTTTCTCTTGTATAGACGAAAGCCTAGACAGGCATATTTAATTCTATCTGCCTGAACTCCCGAAAAACATTAAACTTCCTCAGTTGTTCAAAATTGTGAACTTTAAAATGGCATAGCATTCTTCAATTTTCAGATTGGCCTCATTATTTTATTGTTTAATTTTACCAAGCATCAGGTACCTAATAAAGTTCAATTAATTCTGCTTAAATTGCTCCAGAATATCAAAGCATTCCAAACATCATTCAGTAGACTTTCGATCTTAATATAAAAAAATTATCGGCTAAGTAATATAATTTATATCTGAGGATCTGGTATATACGTTTTGAATACTTCTTTCATAGTGTCATTGTTTAAACAACTGAACAAAACTATTTTGATATAAAGTTGCTGAAAATTAATATATATGATTTATCGATATAGGGTTGTGGAGATTGCTGAGTTTTAATTATGTTTATCAATCGATCAATGTTAGACTACCATTGAAAACCTGAAAGCACTGAGAGACTGTTTCGCTTTAGCATGGGACGCCTCAGTAGTGTGCATCCACGATCCCGCACTCGAGACTAACGAACGATTAATCTATAGACCACAGAGTCGATATCCAGCGGTTTTAATGTCTAATTTTAACCAATCCACGATAAAGAACGACCATCTTTCATTGTCCATCAATTCATTTTAACGATCATAGTTTATTTTTCAAAATATTTGGAACGATTATTCTGAAATGACAACCGTGAATTAGACCGAGTTAGTTTGTTGGATATAATCTCTTATCCAACAGACGCGTATTTTGATATGACAGATGTAAACCAGACGGTTTAAAATCAAACGTTACACTATTTATGACCAATTTTACAAAAGCTTTAGCCAACTTCATAAATTTGAATTCATCAATCTCTTAGTTTTAATTTAATTATTAACTAAATTTGTTAGATACACGTCTTGTCAAATACTTTGATTTAAAAAGTTGACGTTCCAAATGATCATCATAAATTTCATGGAATTAGTTACCTTTAGGAATTGAATTAAATCCAGAACAAATATTGATGCAGAATAATATGAATTCATTATATTTCGTAGTTTCTCGTCAGATGCTTGCAAACAAATATGTATTAGAATTTTAGCATTGCAGATAACAAATTATCTGGAACAATTGACATAAGTGAACGTAAAGGATTGGAATAACTGAATGTTATCAATGATAACTATATATATATATGTCCGACGTTATTAGGTGTAAGAATCAAGGAAGCATAAAGCGTGGGTGGTGTAATTTTTGAGTGCAGTTCAGAGACAGATTAGATAAAATGTGTGATAATTTTAGTGGTAATGAAGGATTCATGGAATTAAAAACAAATAGGTTGGGTTACGTAATAATTGAATAGAATTTGGAGAGTTAATATAATTTAAGAGAAACAAGTGAGCGAAAATGTGTGAGTGAAAGGGTGGTTATAGAATCGGGTAATGGAAGAGGAATATAATGCAAACTAAATATTAACCAAAATAAAACTAATAACCAAAAAGCTAAAACAAAAAAGTGGACATTCTCTTATGTCAATTGTTCCACACTATTTATTACCCCAATGCTAAAATTCTAATACATATTTGGTTGTAAGCAGCTGGCGAGAAACCATGAGGTATAATGAATTCATATTATTCTGCATCAATATCTTGTAGTGTCGGTTGATATGTTAGCTCATATCCCTTATCCTAAACTTCTGGATAAGTCAGTTCACCTATCCATCATGAGTCCTATTTTCACCTTGTTAATTATTCACTTATTAAACGTGACCATTTTTTCTATTAGCGTAGGTGTGTGTACCCTTCTTATCTTATTCATCGTATATCTGCAACTTATTCTGGTTTGACTATAAATGTTGATTAAAGTGAGTTGGCTTACCCGCCATCTCCAATAAGTGTCATTTTTGTTTCGCTCTCTGATATTTACTCAGGTCCTTATAACTTTCTGGCCTGGGTCATTTGTCAATAAAACTGTAGATGCCGCTTCTCTTTGCCTTCTGATTTTATGCACCGTTAACATTTGTGTCATAACGGTTATCGAGGTGAATGAGTAGTGAAGCAATCTGGCTTTATTTAATTGATTATCATAATTTGACCTTATTCAACTGTTAGTTGTAAATATATTTTCTATATATAATCTATTATTATGACTGTTAAAGAATTGGAAGATCTCAAAGTATTTTATTTTGACATCGTTACTTGAACACTATTAAATAATCGACTTTTTTACGATGAAACATGAACATAAAACTTAATACCTTAAATAACCTAATGACATACATGAGTTCTATTAGTTACCATGCAAGTTTGGTTCTACAAGGGTGAAAGGAAAACATTTAAGGGTTCTATACTTGAACACCTAATCGACTGTAATCATTCTACAGATCCAGTCTGACTTAATTGTTTTTTATATGATTCATTCAAATCTACCTAGATTTCTTCGTATCCAACTCCTAAAAATAGCCGAAGCTCTTACCATCCATGAGCTCAAACCAGAACTATGCGTACAAAAGAAGCACGTTTTATTATTATCGTTACCATGGCTTTAATATTATTATTATTATTATCACTCTATTATTATTATTACTACTCTATTCCCCTTTACTTATGTCTTATATTCTCATTATTTTATTCATGAATACTCATTATATCACCTTATTTATTTTTACACCTCTATGACCTTTAATGACCTTTAATTATTGCGACAAAAACATTCTATTCATTTTAATCATCTTATTATATTCACTAAAACTATTTTTATTACTCGTATTACGTATTCTAGTATTATAATCTTGGTTATTAGTGATCACATTTCCTCACGGAATTATTACTTTAACAATTTCACATATATACGATTGCACAGCTTGATAATAAATTCATTTATCAATGTTGAAAGCGTGAATCAATTGAAGCTAGACCACCATCGAAAACCTGGAAACACTGGACGGCCGTTTCGTCCTATTATGGGACTCTTCAACAGTGCGCATCCACGAACCGGCTCTCGCGAGATTCGAACCCATGAATGCGCACTGCCGAGGAGTCCCATAATAGGACGAAACGGCCGTCCAGTGTTTCCAGGTTTTCCATGGTGGTCTAGCTTCAATTGACTCACGCTTTCAACATTGATAATTACTAAATCTTCCCAAAACCCATTCTATAATTAATAAATTCATTGAAAAGAAATTCCTTCGCTGAACTTCGTGTTTTTAATTTTAATGTTTAAATAGGAATTATCTGCCAATAAAACATGTGTGCAAACTTTCACTTTTACTTACTACCAACCGTTCATCATCCATTTAAACAAAACAGTAATACAAGTTTTTTACATAATGAATTGGATTTTAAAAATATAAAGAGAAAATATTGAAAATTAAAACGTTATCTTTCGGTGATTTTCTTCATGTTAGAAACATTTGATTTTCTATATGGTTAGATGTATGCACCATAATGTTTTTTCTTCCTTCTTGTGTATCTTCTAATCCTTATAAAAAGCTGGATCATCTAGTTTGTTTTGCAGAAAAAAAAGATTGGCAAATTATGATTTCTTTGAGTTAGATAGACTAATTATACGATATAATCTTTTGAAGCCTTACTGCATACACAGGTTTGTACATATTTAAATTAATCAGGCATTTGAAACTACCTGGTGTGAGGATAAACTGTTGTATTTTTATACTGAGTAATTCGTCTACATCATTATAAAATGCATCTTTTATGATAGTGTACGTGTTTGCAAATATATGTCCCGCTTCCTTACTAAAACACTAATCGTTTAAGCCATCGATACAGTACTTTAGTGAAATGACTCATCCATTTACATGAATTATTGGAATAGTGAACATTGTTTCTTTCATCTTCGTCCTCTGTCACTGGCATGCTGGCTGAATTACATGAGTTGTGTGACTGAAACAAATGGCTCTAATTGCTTCATTTTACTTTCTGAAGATTAAATATTTTTAGGAACTGTCGTAGTAACAGTTATCAAAGCTATTAGTAAAGGAAGAATAGAATAAGCTCGCTGAATACGAAGATAAGTTTAATTAATATGAATCAGTTTTAGATTTTCCATGCTCATCTATTTTACATAAATTTTGATTTCAATTAGTCAAACAGATAATCAAAATAATCTCCTGTAAAGTTACTACGAACAAAACATTCATTGAAGTGAAAACAATGTCGTTTTCATGAATCGGCTGAGAGTTTTTGTTTACAATGAGATAATATATTTTAGCAGAGATGGATAGTGGCTAGCAGTGGAATCCAGGACGCGCGTTTCGTCCTATTTGGGACTCGTCAGCTGGATGTACCTGCATCTCAGAGTTGATGTTCACTCTGGGATTCGAACACAGTACCCTCGCTTCAAACGCCATCGCGTTATCCACTCGGCCACTGAGTCCCGATAGCCACTTGCTTGTGCGATGGGGTGAAGTTTAAATAAATGGGAAGATTCAAACAAACAATACTAAGTTGTATTTAATATATTTTAGTTCTAAGACTGCTAATATTTATTATAATTTCAATAAATGATGAAATGAAAAAGGTTTTATAGATTAGCGAACCAAATCATCCAGGTTCATTTAGTATTGTTTGTTTGAATCTTTCCATCGATGTGTTAGGACTGCAACTGGTCATTCTCTAATTGGCATATGTGCATACTGTGCGTATTGCCTCGATATAGCTTTAATTCACAAGCATTGTAAGCACTGCTAACCACTATCCATCTTTGCTTACAAATCATCCAGGGTTTTTAAATAAATCTTGAGTATTTGACTTTAGAATTATTTACAAATAAATTATTCCAGCAAAGATATTTCATATGTAAACGATTATTTCTATATATTAGCAATCCAAATAACAAAGATTCAGTTCAAAAGTACTTGGTCAAAATAATTTGCAGTCTTTACATAAAATAACAACAGCACAAATAATATATTCGAAAAGGTTTGTAGTGATTACTAAACTATGAAGGTAATTCTCGCTCTAAAATAACTTTAGTTAGACAACCAGTTAAACAAAATCAAAAGCCTTATGATAGGAAAATTATATTAAGACAATTGTGTTGATTTCTATTAGTTTCAGTATGTATCATAAAGATATTTGTTTGCGTACAACAATATATTTTAATAGACACATATTCTAACTTATAGAGTTGAGATCATGAGTCAATTGAATTGCTTAATAAATTACTAAAATCTTCACAAAACCCCTTCTGATAATAATCAGATGCTCACTAGTGACTGACTCCTTGAGGTATTACCTGGAGTTCTAGTGAGAAGCAGTAACCGGTGGAGTTCAATCAGGTCTGTTGTGAGATAGGAACTCACTGATGACATTGGTGAATGGTTGCTCAATTTCGTGAATCAGTTGAAGTTAGACATTAACACCGTTGGATGCCAGCTCAGTGGTCTATTGGTTAAGAGCTTCGGCTCGAAACTGGTAGGTCCTGGGTTCGAGTCCCGCGAGAGTGGGTTCGTGGATGCGCACTGCTGAGGAGTCCCATAATAGGACGAAACGGCCGTCCAGTACTTCCAGGTTTTCCATGGTGGTCTAGCTTCAATTGACTCATGATCTCAACTCTATAAATTACTAAAATCTTCACAAAACCCCTTCTGAACATATTCTAACTGTTTATGATGAGCAAGGCAGAACTTTAATAGTCCTACTATGTATAAACGAAAAGATATAATTATTTATAAACAATTATCTACACAATATACTGAATGTCCGTTGGTTGGATGCCATCAACGACAGCCTACTGTAGGAGAGAACAAACCAACTTTCAAATGAAAAGGAAATTAGGAAAAGTCGTTGGAGGTGTATAGGACATACAATAAGGAAATCACTAAACTGCATCACGAGGAAATCCCTAACTTGAAGTCTTGAATGTAAACGAAAAAGAGGAAGACCAAAGAACACACTGCGTCGAGAGTTGGAAGAAGACATCAAGTGAATGAATATCTGCTGGAAAGGACTGACCAGGTTGAAGTTGGATGGAGAATACTGGTGAACGTCTTATGCTCATCTATGAGGGGTAACAGGCATATGTACATAAGTAAGTAAGTATTTATAAAGTTTAACCTATTAATCTATATCTGTGAAGAGAGTAGTATATCATGAATTATTTTCTGGTATGTAACCTCTGATACTTACAAACCTAATGGAGTTTATATTCACTTGGTGTTGTATACTTGTATCTTCCCATTGTTATTTAGGACTGTAATTGATCAGTCTCTTGTTGGCATATGTACATCCTGTGCGGACTGCCTTGATATTGCCTGAAGTCACAAGCTCTATAAGCAAAGATGGATAGTGGCTAGAAGTGGAATCAAGGACTCGCTTGATGTTCAACCCGTTAATCAAACTCAGTACCGTTTACTTCAAACGCCACTACTACTGAATTCTGGAGTTTAATTTACAACGTTTTAAAAGAGTTCCTGAAACGTACATGGATTTGAATATTATAATAATAATTATTATTAATTAAATTCACTTGTACTGAAATCAAAAATGTGTTTCACAAAACTGTGGTATACATTACAATTAATTTAAATGTACCATATTTGTTCTTATTAATTATGACATTTAGATATTTTCATAGTTGAAATCAATAGTCAATTGAGGCTAGACCACCATCGAAAACCTGGAAGCATTGGACAGTCGTTTCGTCCTTTTATTGGACTCCTCAGTAGTGCTCATTGACGATCCCGCCCAGCTAGATTCGAACCCAGGACCTATCAGCTTCGCGCCAGTAGACCACCGATAGACCACTGAGCCGGCATCCAACGGTGTTAATGTCTAACTTTATTATAAACAAATATGATTGGTAAGAAATTAATAATAAAAAATACACGATGAGAAATAATTTAAATTACTTGACTTTCGAACTTCTTTAGGTAATTTTATTGAAACTTCTTCACCAACTTTTTTGCCTGTTATAAAAAAGATAAATGCACTTGATATTGCTTGTCTGAATCTTCCCATTTGTTGTTTACGACTGTAATTATTCAGTCTCTTATTAACAAATGTGCATACTGTGCGTATTACCAAGATATAGGCTTAATTCACAAGCATCATAAGCTAAGATGAATAGGGGCTAGGACGAAACACTTGTCTTGGATTCCACTGTTAGTCACTATCCATCCTTGCTTAGAAAGATAAATAGTTTTGTATTAAGATAGGATAATACAGGAGAAATTTACCCTATCTCCGAAAAAAATTATTGCAGAATATAGTGCATTAGGATGTGATAATAAGAATTTATCAAAATCTGGACATCTATTTATAACGTTTAGTAATGATTAACTTGTTATACCCTAGCGAAGACATAGGCATTGGTAACTCCCAGGATTTATTAATGGACTATTATTCTATATACATTCTTATTGTTTAACTATTGAGTGATCAGATTACGTATATTAATATTTATCTTATTATAAGCTTCATTTTGACCTATGAATTATTATTATACGAGTTACTGTCCCTAAATTATATTCAGTTTATTGATTATTGTCTTTCATGTTCACAGCCACATTGGGCTTGATCTTGTACAAATATTATTTTCTATTTTATCAGTGATGCTGTCTGTCTGTCTGGCATATAGACCGAGTATGCTTGAAATAAATGGTTCGCATAGCAGAAGCTGCAATTGTTGTTTTTGGATCCAATGGGAAGGGCTAGGCGGACAAGGCAGCAATAAGAAAACTAGACTGCTCATACCAGTTGAACATTGTTGATTCGGCACAGTGTTAAGATTAGACAAGTCGTATTCCGATTGGCGGATACCTTACGTGATAAAAGCTGAACATAAAATCATAACGAATTGGCAACGACCTTCTTTTATAAAGTCATAACATACTAAACTGTAGTAATTGTTCAATCAACTAACTAAAGCCTTTTATAGAAACACTGTAAAAATTACCTTTCCTTTTGCGTCCAATTCTGATTTCTCTTTGAAAGTCTCGTTCATACTCTAATAAGAATAAAATTTATATGATCAATTATAAGAAATTAGTGTAATCTGGTGAAACTTAATAAAACGTAAAATTATCTAAGAATAACTTTTTCTTGGAAGTTAGTATATACTTTTTACAGCTCCGGTTCTATTTGAAGAAAGGTATAGTTCGGAAAAAGGATTTAGGTGTTGTTATATTATTCAAGATCAGTGTTCGAATCGGGAAAATTCCAGTGACCTTTTATAGATTATCATAAGTATATCATCAAAAATTAAGTAAGCTGCTTTATTTACGTCACTTGAAATCAAAATGTGGTAACTTAAGTATTTGCTTTTTTACTTGCGGTTAATAATTTCTTCTGTCTTCCTCAACATTTTTACTTTAATCTCCATTGAAAACTGTGATCATCTAGTAGATTAGTGTACTTTTTGTTATTCAACGAACTGAGAATGTTTCAATATGCCCCTATATTTTTATAATTACCCATTTTCTCTATATTCATTCTGATTTTAATATTTCAGCACTCTATTTCAGTATACCTTATGTATTTTTCTACATATATTGATATTTCCAACGTTGTATCATGAAGCTTTTCTGTATTCAATTATGAATTCATCTGCTCTGAATGTTTATATATGTGCCATACTTAAATAAATTTCAAATATATTTCATTACTTACCTGGACCTTCTTCATCTTCTTCTGGCTTTTTGGTATGTTTCTTATCTGTTGTTTTCTCTTCCTCTTCATCTTCTTTTTTTAAGTTATATCAATAATCAAAAAATCATATATATATATATATATATATATATATATATATATATCTATATATATATATATATATTGTATTGTTCATTGTTTAAAACGATCCATAATTGCTATCAGGACTCAGTAGATGAATGGATAACGTGATGGCGTTTGAAGCGAAAGGTATTGGGTTCGAGTCCTAGAGTGAACATCAATTCTGAGATGCAGGTACATACAGCTGACGAATCCCAAATAGGACGAAACGCGCGTCCTTGATTCCACTCCTAGCCATTATCCATCTTTGCTTGCAATCCATAATTGTCTTTTTTACATATCTCTTTTTATTTGTGATCATTGTTGTCTCTAAACAGTGTTAACATTTTACTCCAGAAACTTTTGTATCTACTGAATAGCGCAATAGATCTAAGTACATTATATGTTCGATATATTTATTCATGCCTTACTTACTGAACGTGTATCAGCTCAAAAAATTATCAGATTAGATATAAAATTATTTTGTTATAGCTAATGAAATATAAATGTAAATAACTCAGTTTTATCTTAATTAGGATCATCACGTTCATTTTTTTCAATGATTACCACATTACTTTACTTGCTTACTTACGCCTGTTACTCTTAATTGAACATAGGTCGTCGACCAGCATTCTCCAACCCACTCTGTCCTGAGTCTTCCTTTCTAGTTCTACCCAGTAGTGGTTATGATTACCACATAGTATCATAAAATAGACCTTCTTATCAATTTCTTAGTTCCATAGACTATTGTGATCATCATTTAACTAACAAAAAGGAATCTCTTCTATTAATTATGTTAATTAGTTAAGTTTAACTTATAACAAACGAAACAAAAGATGATTCAATAAAGATAGACATTAGAGATGGCGGATTATTTTTATGTTTCTGGCAAATTTGCAACAATTACATTATGACATGATCAGTATTACAGATATCGTTTGTTGAAGTTAGTAAGTGAAAATTGTAATTGGGTAATTTGTTAATCAAATGATAACATAACAGTTATCAAATGTCATGTTGAAGATATTTGTAGTTATAACTATCAAAAATGTTTCCAATTTATACTTATTATCATAAGGGGGTTTTGTGGAGATTTTTGTAATTTTATATAGTTATGATCATGAGTCAATTGAAGGTAGACCACCGTGGTAAACCTGGAAGCACTGACTCATGATCTTAACTATATAAAATTACTAAAATCTCCACAAAAACCCCTTTGTGATAATGATCATATGCTCACTAGTGACTGGCTCCAGGAGATAATTCCTGGAGCTATAGTAAGAAGTCGTGGCCAGTGGAGCTGATCCATGTCAGGTTGAGACAGGTATCTACCTAAGTACAATGGAAATTGGTTGCGCAATTTCGTGGATTGGTTGAGATCAGACAATAACACCGCTGGATGCCGGCTCAGTGGTTAAGTGCTCTGGTGCTAGACTGGTTCGAGTCCCATGAGGAGGGACCGTGAATGCGCACTGCTGAGGAGCCCCGAAGCAGGACGAAACGGCTGACCAGTGCTTCGAGGTTTTCCATGGTTGTCTAGCTTCAATTGACTCATGATCTTAACTATATAAGATTATACTTATTAGTTTCATTTACCTGGTTTCTTTTTTGAAACTCTTCTATCAACATTAATTTCTGCTTTTGACTTGTGAGTTACTTCTTCTGGAAACATTTAAACAAACAATTATATTTTCAACTAATTCTTTCTAGTCAATACTCCAGTATACAGAGATATTTATAAAACCACTAATTTATTCAATAAGACCTGAGTCTTGATAATTGTAATGACATGAAATGATCAGTTAATATTTGTCACTAGATTGGTGTTATTATATAATGGCAAGTATATTTGTAATACAAAAAAATAGTTAAACTACAATTATTAATAAACAAGTTTCCAGGAGTTATCTGCGAACAAGAAAATGTAGCATCTATTTGGTTTGCTGAACAAATATTAATTGAAAAATCTAAACCTGATTTATGTATTCACATAAAGAAACAGGAATCAATTTATTATTACTTTGGACTAATTTCCCCTAAAATGATTACTTTTTTTGTTATTATTATTAATTTATTATCAGTATGGAGTTGTGGAGATTGTTGAGTTTTGAATTGAGATCATGAATCGATCAATATTAGATAACAATTGAAAACATGGAAGTACTGGACTACCGTTTCCTCCTGGTATGGGACTCCTCAGCTGCGCGCATTTTATTAGTGGATATTTTGTTATGAAGTCTTTGCAAAACTAATTATTGCATGCCAAAATGATCTATTTTCCAATTCATTCAATTCTCTATTCTTAAGTTAACTCTTTAAACATGTTATAATTATTACGTTACATTTCATTTTCGAATTCTAGTTTGTTTCCTCGTCACTGCTTCAAATCTTCTCTATCTATTTTTAAATGATATGAAATTCATGTAAAGTTTTCTCAACTTTTATGATTATCATAAGATTCATATTATCCGTTTCCGAACTTTACTTAATTTTTACCTCAACCCTCATATTTGTGAATTCTATCTCCAAGTGACCCCACACTTGCTCGAGTACCTATATGTATATAGTCATTGTTATTCTGACTCAATTCATCATCAAATTTGAAAGCTTCATACCATATGATTGTCTCGATGTTACATTTCAGTACATATATGGTTTTTATCAGTTAATGGTAAACCATGAAATATAATGCAACTGCATCAAAATTGCATAATAATACATATAAGACGTACCTGTTGGGGGCACTGTAAAGAAATATAGTTAACACAAAAAAGTGATATTGTCTTAATTGAGTAACAAAGAAGGTATTTCTACAAGATGATGTCATTAAAGCAAGTGAACACAGTATTGGCAAACACTCGATTGTCATAATGAAAAATTTTGTTTTCCTATTGATTTTTCGGACTCAACTGGAAGGGCTTGGAGAAAAAAAGACCAATACAGACGTTCATACCGGTCGGAAGTTATTGGTTTGGCATAGTACTAAAATTGCATAAGTCACATTTCGATTGAAGAATAAATCACATCATTAAAACTTATACTGAAATTAAAAATAAGATTACTTATTGATATTTTCCATACCTTTTATTATAGATCATAAATTAGATTTTCTTAAATATAAAAATTCTATCGTCTACCAAGTGTGAACTCTAGCGAATAAAGGAAACTTCTAGTCTGTAAACATTTACTCATATATTATGTAATTAATTAATAAATTACTTAGTACGTCAAGACAGTTCTATTGTATGGGGCGTAATCCTGGAGAACTACGAAAGCTATCATTTAGAAGATATAGGTGTTTACGCAAAATGCTTAGGATCCGATGGACAGACACTATCAGCAACAAGCTACTGTGGGAGGAAACAAACCAGATTACATCCAGTGGAGGAAGAAATTTGGAAGAAGCGCTGAAAGTGGATAGGACACACATTGAGGAAGTCACCCAACTGCGTCACAAGGCAAGCCCTCACATGGAATCCCCAAGGCCAAATGAGAAGAGGAAGACCAAAGAACACATTACGTCAAGAAACAGAGACAGACATGAGAAGAATGAACAAAAGTTGTATAGAAGTATATAGGAAGGCCTATAACATGTTGGGTTGGAGAATGCTGGTTGGAGGCCTATGCTTCATTGGAAGTAACAGGCGTAAGTAAGTAAGTATGTAATTAAATTGAATAATTCAAACTTGAAGGGAATTATAATCAATTGATTGGTAAATAAAGAATCAGACTAATTATAGAAGTTTAGGATTGTTTATGGATGTTAATCATTCAATTTTTAAAAGAAATTATCTATACGGAAATATATTTCTAAATTGAAGACGTTTTGTAAGTTTAACGCACTAATTTCGAAAAATACGTATTTCATATATTACATAATCTACTTTAAAAAAATATCATTCGCTTAGCTGGATAGTAATATGACTTACCTTTATGTGGTGCTTTAGTCATTTTTATAGTACGTGGTATTATGACTTCTTCACTATCGATTTCGGTAAAAACTTCCCATCCTTTTTCTAAAATAAAGGAAAACAAATTTTTAAAAAATGAAATAGTTTCATCTAATGGTATACTAGTAATGTTATATGGTTATCCCATAGCATCATGCTAACCTTTGAGATGATTTTAATCATGGAAAATAGTAGTAAATACTGATAGTTAAATGATAAATATCACCCTATTTATTCAAAGATTAGCGTAGACTATCATCGATTAGCTATACTCGGATATATGGACATTTGAAATTTGATCCAGTGAACTGATAGAGCTTAAGGTGAGGTGAAACTTGAAAGTATTGAGTGTTAGTACGTATGAAATTGTGGAATGGTACTGATGAAGATTACCCAAATAACCACTTCAGTCCTAAACATCAGTTTAAATAACCGAAACAGAATGAACTAATACTTCATCCAATTGCCCAAGGTGGTGACTAACTGAACTCAGTAGCTAAGTGGATAACATGTTGGCTTTTGAAGTGAACGTTATTGTGATCGAATCTCGGGGTGTACATCAGTTCTTGGATGCAGGTGTACCTAGCTGAAGAGTCTCAAGTAGGACGAAACACGTGTCCTGGATTCCACTGTTAGCCACCATCGATCTCTGCCTAAGTTGTTCTTTGTGTTTCAATAGTTCTCCAGTTGATGTTTAATTGTGATAAAAATTAACTTTGTGGTGTAGATAATTACTTTCTAGTAATAACTGGATTACAAGAAAAAAAGGTAGAAAGAGTTGAGAAATAGTAAAAAAAACATGTACATTTATTATGTTTCACCTTGAGGTACTGTGAACTGCATTGTTCTTTCTTTTTTACCTCCAGTTCCAGAAATATTGTACTCTTTTATTGTGTTCCAATTACTCCAATCTATTCAATTCAGAATATATCTAAGAAGCTCTATCTCACCTGTCTCTTCTTCCACAAATGAGTTTTGTTTATCACCACCACTTCTTACCTTCAGCTTAGCTTTACCGTAAATATAAATAATAAAATATTAATTGAGTAAATGTTGAATTTTGTATTTCATAAATATTCTTTCTTAATAATAATGTTAATCATTTAGGATAATATGCAAAATATCCTGATAGATATCCCAACAGTTTTTAAAATTCTATTCATTTTGTGAAGAGTACATAAAGAACATGTCATATATCTTAAATATTTCTAATCAGAAGGGGTTTTGTGGAGATTTCAACATCTTCATAATTGAGATCATGAATCAATTGAAGCTAAACCACCAAGGAAAACCTGAAATCACTGGCAGCACTCCGCTAGGTGAGATCGAGGATATGTACTGCTGAGGAGTCCCACAATAGGACAAAACGGCCATCCAGTGCTTCCAGTTTTTCCATGTTGGTCTAGCTTCAATTGACTCATGATTTCAACTATGAAAATATTAAAGATTTCTTTTTGAAAATTTAATATACAGTATAGTAGTAGTTTTATACATATATGACTTTGTTTATTAACGATAACAATAAAATGGATTATGTAACTCATTGTGCTAAATAACATTAAAGGGTATAGATCAACAATGGTGTGGTGAATACTTTTTATTTATGTCAAGATAAGTAGTATGTAACACCAATAGGAAAACTTGTGGAAAACTTGTCAGCCGAAGGTTATGAAAGTTGGCTTGATGAGAACAGGAACGGAATTTCAAAGGAATTGGAAATCAGAAGAATCATACAGAATGTGAAAGACAAATGATGGGAAATCGCAAATGAAGTATTCAGTGTATGATTCTTATATTTTACCAAGATATCCCAGTTTTTTGTGTTATAATACACTTGTTGTCCCTTACATGTGTTCGTGTTCACAACACTGATGGTGTACTGTTTTCTACTTATGTTGACAGATATAAGCAATAGGTACTATCAGTTAGAAGTGGAATTTCTGACAGCAGACGGTTGCGAAAATCAAATTGAAGAGTACAGGAATGCAAACATGGTGTAATTATAATAATAACAAGAATGAAGGAAAGATGAAGTTAGTATGAGACAACTGATGGATGATGTGCAAACTAAGTATTTAATGTATGATTTTCATATTTTACCAGGACACTTTGTGACTTATCATCTTTTAAATGTGTTATTAAATAATAGTTGATCAAACGGTAGCTTAATTCACTTCATAATTTGTTTGAAGCTAAAGACTATGGGATAGTCTGAAAGTAGGCGATAATCCTTAGAATAAATAAATTCTAGCTATTATCTCAAATTTTTTATTAAATATTTTATTCGTTTACTCAAACTCTAAAATATTCTAGCAGTAAAACCAGTGAATATTACTTCATATGAACACTGAATTAAGGTATATCATCGTATAATCCTGCAAAACTAATAGCACCTTTAAATTCACTTGGTATTGTTTACTTGAATCTTCCTATTGTTATTTAGCATTGCAACTGGATAGTCTCTCAAAAGCATATGTGCATACTGTGCGTATTGCCCCAATATTGCCTGTCATGGCTCAGTAGCTAAGTGGATAATGCGGTGGTGTTTAAAGCAAACTGTACTGGATTCGAGTCCCAAAGTGAACATCAACTCTGAGATGCAGGTACATCCAGCTGACGACTCCCAAATAGGACAATCGGTTATTATACTCAAAGGAATATATTATATATGCATGTAAAGTCGAACGTAAATTTAAGAAACAATAACATATTTTTACCAAATTTCTTACCTGCAGCAACATGCAGATCAGGATTCAAAAGTGTGTAAATAAGACATATCCATAGTAGCGACTGAAAAAAATTGTAGGTAGTACGCATTATTATCAAATGAATACAAAATTTTTTGCTGTTATTCACAAAATAGATATGTTTTACTAGTTATTCACCATGGTTTATATATCATGATTTTTTCTTCAATTGATTGTGAAATCGACTCAATGTCAATCGAATGTGTTGGCAGTTAAATATTATGAACAATTTAATTTTGTCTATAACCGTTGAAACTTGTCCATATAGTCCTGTCAATTTACTTTTAATTCAATAATATACTTTTTAAATTATATTAAATTGTCATCTTTCGGCCATTTAATCGATTTAATGATTGACCTAGAGAATTATACACTATTATGTCATTCCGTGTAAAGTGACTACAATATCCTGAAATCATTCAAGTAGTTCTTACTGTTTTTGTCAATTTGGATTGTATAACTCAAAAAATCTATTTAAGGAAATAGTCAGTTTTATTTATTGAATGGGAAATATTAGAAAGCATAATTAAATATTCTTGAAATTAAGAGTAGATTGTCCTTTATTGAGACACTTTAGAAATACATAATCAAGAACCCATAGATTAAGAACGTTTGAACGTCCTACCATCGAAGAAATCACAGCAATATCCAATCATTTAAGTTGTATTACTAACTTCTGTCACTTTGGTATTTTCATTTTTCGGGTGACATTGGTAAATGACGACCTTTTATTAATGTATTTTGACTTCACAACTGGATGTTTTCACTAGAATTTCTTAGTGAACGAATTTGAAGCTCATTACTAATGACTAGATTAATATAATAGCTTTTTTACGGATTATTCATTTGTGAGCAATCATTCTAGATGACTTATCAACATATTTCAAAATTAACTCCTAACAATCAAACAAAGCTGTTATTACTTCCCTTCACTGATGCTACAATCTATATAGTACATAAAAATCATGGTGTACAAATAATTCGAACTTATAAATTTTTTTCAAATACTAATTGCAATCTTGTATTGCTTGTTTGAATCTTCCCATTGATGTTTAGAACTGCAACTGGTCAGTCACTTTTTGAAATATGTGCATCCTGTGCAGATTACCTTTATAGTACCTTAAGTTACAAGCATTGTAAACAAAGATGGGTGGTGGCTAGCAGTGGAATACAGGATACGCGTTCCATCTTACTTAGGACTCTTTAACTGGATTTACCTGCGTCTCAGAGCTGATGTTCATACCCGGCTGACGAGTCCCAAATAGGACGAAACGCGAGCCCTGGGTTCCACTGCTAGCTATCATCCATCTTTATTAATTGTAATTGTTTAGCATGACAGATACAATTAATACTACAAAACTAATTCGCGAGTGAGTTGTCAGGTCAATGTCATTACAATGTAATAAAAAGAAATTGTGGACATTCAGCGTTAGTTAATAAGTCACCGCTTCATTTGAAACAAAGATATCTCATTCTGGTTTGGTCTCGATCTTTCATCAACCGAACACAAAACACGAAGATACTTAAAAAAAAGAAAACGACTTCATCTTTTCTTCAAAATACGAAGGCAAGTGACTTACAAAGTACTAGATGTATTATTTCGAGAGTTTCGATAGCTATCAGAAATAATGAAAGGGCGATGTTTCGGCATTACGCGGTTCGTGATTCTCATTCCCATAAACATCAGAAGGATGTGCAGCGTGTTCGCATGTCGGGCTAACCAGTTATGTAGTGCCTTGCTTCATGAATCGTTCACCCTGATAACCGTTATAATACCAATCTTAACGGTGTATAAAATCAGAAGGCAAACTATATTTTTATTTAAAGCAATTAGTCCCATTGATAAATTTCGATAATGTAATAAGAAGACGAAGATTATCAGAACTATGTGATATATTAGCGCAATACATTTCGAACAATCTGATCACACATATACTTGTTAAGAACATTTATATATAAAAATAAACAAGTATATGTGTGATCAGATTGTTCGAAATGTATTGCGCTAATATATCAAATAGTTCTGATAATCTTCGTCTTCTTATTACATTACATTTTTATTGATAAATGATGCAGACCAGAAAGTTGTAAGCACATGAGCAAATGTAAGCAAGCGAAGCGAAAGATGATGCGTATTGCAGATGGATGGGAAGCCAACTCAATTCAAGCAAGCGTTAATCAACATTTATAGTCGGACAAAAATGAGTGACAGACATATGATGAATAAGATACGAAGTGTACACATATACGCTCATATAAAAGTATAGTCAAGGTCAATAAGCGAATAATTAATATCAAAATATGACTCATGACAGGCGAATTGGCTTGGCCAGTAGCCAGAATAAAATATATGGGCTTAACACAAACTGATACTACATAGCCCCCTTGTAGAAAATAGCACATTTATAAAAAAATGTCTATTTTCGAAAAATAACACTGAAGCGGTATGTGGATAACGTCAAAATGTGGGAAAAAAATGGTAAAATACCTGATAAATTACAGTGTCATGTGAAGGGTGAGCGTATTATACGAAAGTGTCATACGTATGTAAAAATGTACATGAATATTGTCAATCACAAAGAGAAGATAATTTTCAAATTACATTTTCTTTCAATTCGAAAATGAGATTATCGTTCATAATTTACATCATCGTGTATTATGTGATCTGTACCATTTCAGGTAAATACTATGATCATTTTTTTAAGAAAGTCACCCAATTGAGTCACAAGACAAGCCCTCACATGGAATCCTGAAGGTCAAAGGAGAGAAGAAAGACCAAAGAACACATTACGCCGAGAAATAGAGACAGATATGAAAAGAATGAACAAGAACTGGATAAAACTAGAAAAGAAGGCCTAATACAGAGTGGGTTGGAGAAAGCTGGTCGATGGCCTATTATACATTGGGAGTAACAGGAGAAAGTAAGTAAGTAAATAATCTCACGGAACACATAGATATGCGCACACATCTGGGAGGGTAGGTGATCACCTCTCCCTTATAAGCGTATTTGCTACCACAGACTGCTACTTACGTATTATAAGCATACCACTGGTGCTAAAGCTTTCGCCCAAGCACTTCGTGACACACACATAAGCACTCTTTCAGGAGAGATTGACGGTTACCTCTCCCTAGTATTTTCGACCATATCTTTCGATCATGTCTTCAATTTCAAAAATTAGGCCTCTGAATTTGTTTGACGTAATGCAGACACTTTTTCAGATAATGTTTTTTGTGAGCCCACGCGCACACCCTTTGTATATACCTACATATATGAAATACATAAACCGATACTCATGCAATTCATACACACGAGCAAACAAATCGGGCAGCCCTCAAGATTTAGCGAGCTTCATGTTGGAACCCGATTAATCCAGTTTAAAACAGAGTGATGGATTAATCGGATCATCGTTGACCGTCTAAGTTAGCTAGCAAGGTTGCCCCACTACTCAGCAGTACCGTCAAGAGGCCTTAAGCCGGATTTAGCTTCAATAAATCGAAAACAAATATTTTTCTCTTAAAAAATTCATAGATAAAAATTAGATGACTTAGGTAGTGACCGATAAGCCAAATTTTCTTTTTCTTTTCAAAGGTCATATTTAAGAGGACATATATCCATACTTCTCTACAAAAAATTATGGACTACAAGTATTATATCTGATAATTATTCAACGTGCCTTATTCAAATATACCACATGATCCTATTTATCAATTAAATGTATATCCATGTCACTATTTAATGACTCAGTACTACTGTGTATTAAAAAGTAATTATACTTGACTTAGTTTACGACATTTATTCCTCCATTGAAATTGACTTACACTCAAATGAAACTATACCTGTATAATCGATAATAATTTAATACATGATTAAATAATGTAAGTTCAGTGTACACAATCGACATCTCTGACAGAGAATCATTTGTTCATTAAATCTAAGATAAAACAGATTATAAATAGTAGGTTTATATACAGACCACCAGTAACCCTTCTGAACTACAAGTAATCTACGAACAATCATAGTTGACAAGACATTTGATATATTTTCAATCACAGAGAGAAGATAATTTTCAAATTACATTTTCTTTCAATTCGAAAATGAGATTATCGTTCATAATTTACATCATCGTGTATTCTGTGATCTGTACCATTTTAGGTAAATACTATGGTCATTTTTTTAAACGCTTGACTGTGTAATAATCCATTTTTAAAAAACTGTTGTAACAAATTAAACTAAAGTATTCTAAAATTATAAGCAAAGATAGATAGTGGCTAGCAGTAGACTCGAACCCAGTACCGTTTGCTTCAAACACCGACGTGTTATCAACTTAGCTACTGAGTCCAGATAGCCACTTGATATATCGAGGCAATAAGTACAGTATGCACATATGCAAATAAGAGACTGATCAATTGCAGTCCTAAACATCAATGGGAAGATTCAAACAAACAATACCAAGTGAAATTGAAGTACTCTAGGTTACTTAATAAATTGCTTTTATTCATTTGATTATTTACTTGATAATGGAATAGGAACTCATATTATTTGAATTAAATTTTTTTGTTTGGTATAATCATTGTATCTCATCCATTAATACATATTGATTTGGTAATTTTCGTGTCAAAATGTGTTCTGTTAGAGTTTAAAAGAGCTATTACTTTGAAATAATTTATAGTATGGCTGCCATATACATTTCGGATAGGTTGTAACTTAGTACAGCTATGATATAACGCTAGTAGATGATAATGGAATAATGAATTGCAGCATGATATTATGCTATTAACAATAAATAAATCTCTGTAACTTACAAATTAAATTATAATGTTTATATCAGTTAGTACAGTCAGATGACCTAGCTCTTCTATCCCATATATACGAATAAATGCAGACGAAGACAAACAGTGTAAAAGAAGTCTCTGCATCAGTAGACCTCGATATACACAAGGCGAAAAGCAAGATCCACAAATACAACACGGACAACATCAACCCAATCACACATGATGGAGGAACTCTGGAAGATGTGGAATCTTTCACACACCTGGTTAGCAGCATCATTGATGAACATCGAGGATTCG